TTATTTACCTGGGTGCCCCTATAGTCTTCAATCCAGGTTATTGATTAAGATCCATTCCTGCTTCGTTTCTGTAATGATGCAGCATTCAACAGGCCCTTGATATAGATTTGCCAACAATCCATTTATGGAGTGATACTATGTGATGGGAACTGTCTTGCCACTGAGATTGGAATTTACAATACAATACTGCATGTCTACTTAAAGCAAGTCTCACTAAGTTCAGTGGGATTTACTCCCTTGCAAATGTGTACAAAATTGCAGCAGAAAGGGTTTAAAGTTAATCACCACATATTTCAGCCAATCAGAAAATCAGGTGGGAATTTCAGTTTATTGACTGACTTCCTCCATCTAGAGTCAGGACAAAATCCTATGCGTGTTTGGACAGCAAAATGTCCTGCAACTTGCAGCACATCTCTGCCTTTAGTTTGTTTTAGAATTATGAGCTGCCTTCTGGTGCGTCTTATGAAAAGAGTGGAAAAATACACATGAAATGAGCAGTGTTTTGAAATTCTGAAAAAGGTAAAGCTGTTTGCCATGGCAGTTTTGGATACCATAATGTGAAGCAGCCTCACAAGCATTATATGTGCATTTTATATTGGTTCGTATGTGAATTTCAAAAGATTCAGATTGTGCAAACCTTTCCTCAAGAAGCTTGAGAAAGGAAACATTACTAAATCCTTGACACAATACCATACAATTCTACTCCCATGACATTTCATGGAAATTTTGTGGAAGATGACATCACATGTTAAGTCATGGACAAGGAACTGACTTGCCAAGTGGCTAGTCAGAGGGTATGGCTGACAACTGCCATGGCTTGGAGTAGCTGTCTGGCTTCCTGGCTCCTTCCACCTTCTGCCCCACAGTTCTTCTTTGAGGCAAGACCTGGGCCACTCAGCCAATGGCTCCCCCATAAGTGCCTCTCACACATGAGATAGAGAAGGGAGAAATCAGCTGAGAACAAATGCCCCCCAACCAGGCAGCAACTCCCAACTGATTGTTCCTTCTCCCACCCAAGAAAGGGATGGAACCTCTGGTGTGCATGTGGGAGAATCAGCCTGGAAGGGCTACCTTGGAAAGAAGGTGGCCTGTCTCTCTGGCCCTCATCACTCCTGCCTGGCAGAAAGGTGCTTTGGTGCATGCCAGGCTCCCCAACCTTGTGTCCACCAGAGTGTCTCTCCCAGGTGGGAGTGGCAGAAGGCAGGATTGCGTTCTTCTTTCCCTGGAGAGAAAACCACTCAAGCAATAGTGGGGAAGGGAGAGTAAAGGATGTTCCCTTCCCAGCCCCAGCTTAGCCCAGGAACTCTTTACCTGCTCCTGCCTGAGCAGCTTTCTCTCCAGCAGGGAAAGCAGGGCCTGGGCTAGGCAGGGATGCACCAAGAAGGGAGCGTCCTCCCCTAGCTCACGTTCTCCCTCCCCTGTCCTGCTTTAATAGAATCAGGCTGGAGCAGGAGAATCAGCCTATCAGTGCTACTCCTTCCCACACTGCCACCCAGCTGAGCGCTTCCCCTTGTGCCCAAGAGTGGATCAGACCCCACCCTTGAAAAGGGTGGCTCACTGGCTCCCCTGCCCCATCTGCTGCACTTCAGGGCGTGAGCCTGGTTTGCACACTGGAGACTGCTTGACAGCCATGGCTGCAGCCACAGCCGTCAAAGAGGGGAGCCACATTCTCCATGGTGTCCCTTGGGATACTGCCTGGGTAAAGGAGAATGAAGGGGAGTGGGAGGGAGGAGATGGGTTGCCATGCAATACAAACACACTCACTAGGTTAGCTTAGCAAAACTGACCACCGTGCTGCCAATTGCCAACGTTTGTGATAGTCAGATGCTATGAGCAAGAAAAGAGCTGCACACATGCTTTACTCTTCCATTAAGATAAGGGGACTTCTCTTCCATCTGTTTATCAAAAAAGATAAATCAGCATGGTCACACTTGGAATGAAAACGGTATTGACTATGCTGCTGAATGACTTCTGATGTATGATCCTTTGGTTCTCTTGCATGTCTAAACTGAAAAAGGATGGCAGGCTAAGGAAATGCTGAGAGTTGCAAGACTGTTTTCTGGCTAAACAGGATTGCACCTTCAGTTGCTTTCAATATCATGGACCAACATAACCTTCTGGAGGGGCGGACATTAACATCAGTCCTTAAATGGTTCTGGTCATGTCTGGATGGGCATTTCCAGATGTTGATGGAGGATTTCAGCTTCTTCCTCTGCCACTGATATGCTGAGTTTCTTTGGCTCTAGCTTAAACACATCTGCATGAAACTACTGACAGTGTGCATCCTCTTCTGGAGAGGCTTACAAAAGAATAGCGTTCATAGTTTTGGGGCTGCTTATTAATTTATCCCTGTCACTAGTGACACAAGTGCCTCTGTGGCACAAAGTATCTATCCTTTACTAGCTTAGGCAGGTACCCTAGCATGTTGCCCAAGCTGTGGGCTAAAAGTTTGAGCAATCCCAAGGAATTGATCTGCTAGGTCCAGGTTTGTTTACAAGAACACTTTGTTGTTGTAACAGGCAAGTTACTAGCTAGCTTTTCAAAAGATTTAGCAGCAAATCACTTACAATGCTTTGCATGGACTAGCCTGCAAGGCAAACTACAATCAGCTGGAACGTATCAGTCCAAGTAATACACAAGGCCAAAATGTATACCATAGGCAGTTTCCCATCATTGTGCTCTATTACACATGAAGTTTCCCATCTTCATTAGCATGCCACAAGACATAACAGCAGAGGTTTCCCATCTTGCTAGTCCAAATATTCCCACCCTATGTGCCAAAATGATAGGATGTAATACCATAGGCTAATTAAACTAAGCATGACCAAAGTATAAACTTGTAGGCAGATCCGGTAAGGTGCACTCTTTCAAAACAGAGGATAGCTCTGTGTCCGTCCTTTGGCCATCTCTCTCAGAGCCTTTAGAAAACAGTACCTAGTGAGCTGAACAAGGTAACTATATGGCAGCATTTCACTCATGCTAAGCAAGGCCTATACTTTCAGAGGCAGAGGGCAAGGCCTGGAATTTACAGTGCAGGTCCAATAAAACTAGCTATGACCCTGCTTGGACAAGATCAGACGTGCCTTAATTATCCATTCTCAGTTAGCTCATGTCTAGATTTTAATGATGTGTTATATATGAGGTTGCCTCAGAAATGGTCTTGAGATGTAAGCCACTCCAGAATATGGATGTGAGATTCTTAAGGGGTGCTAGGCATCTGTTAGCTTTGTGCTATCTTTCCTAGCTCCTGGTATATTTTCAAGCCCACTTGAAAGGGTTCATTTTGACCATTATGGTTTGCGATCCGGAAACTGAAGGAACACTTCTTCCCATGTATTCCTCCCTGGATATCATCAGACAGCATCATCTCAGGCTCTTCTCTGGGTGTGGCCGCCAGGGAGGTGCAGCAGAGAACTATGACTGAAATGGCTTTTTTTTCTTTTTAGTAGTGGCACCCTAGCTATGGACTGCCTCCCCAGAGAGGCTCACCTGCAACCTACTTTAAGGTCCCTTCTGCACCAGGCTAAGACCCTGTTACTTGTGCAGGCCTGTTACATCTTGCTATCATTTTAAAAATCCACATACATTTTATTCTTCACTCTTTATTCATCCTGTTGTTGAACTTTGTTTGGAGTTTAATTATTCATTTGACTGCTTTAATTTTGTTGTATTCTATCAGCTGTCCTGAGGACTTTTTATTATAGGGCTTAGCTGATATGGAAAGAAATACCTTAGAGCAGGGGTGGGAGTCCCCAAAAGGCTACATCCCTATTCCTGGCCTCACTCCTTTCCCCAACGGGAAAATCATTTGGTGCTTTTCCAGCTTTAGCAGATACTCCCACCACCATTCTAAAAGGTTTAAAATGTATTTCCAAATACTTAGCTGCTAGCAGTTAAAGCTTTAAGCTAAAATATGCTGGTATGCTCAGTATGTTGACCTCAGCCTCCACCCAAATGCAGCTTTCTATAGCTTCTCTGAAATGGCATTCAGCCCTGGAGCTGAAAGAGGTTCTCCATTCATGCATCAGAATAAGTATTTTAGAAGTATGTAGGGAAGACTAGGATTTCATTTTGAAGTAGATCTGATCAATCTGTGCTAGAATCTGTTTCTATTAAGTTTCTGGGGGAGCTACTCCTTGATATGGTTGCACTGTCAAGTAAGATTAAATCCTGATCCCCCACCCGACGGCTGACCTAACCAACTGGCAGGGTGATGCTGCTACCATAGACAGCTGATTCAGGGTTAGCTGCCAAGAAACAGCAGCAAATAGCTATTACTGTATTATATTTCTACCCCCAGAAAGAGTTGTTTATGGGATTTTCTGCTGCAGGTACAAAAATAAGTCAGCCTTGGGTGGTATGCATGCGATGAAATGGACTATAGTTTCTAAAGGCTAGTACCAGGATGTACTTTTTAGCCTTTAAGGGAACACAAGACTCTAAATCTGTTTGATGCAACACTGCTATGCCACTGGTGCTGGAGGGCAGGAGCGCGGGAGGCAGGGAGGGAGGAGGCAAAAGGTAATGCTGTGCCTTGGGCAGCAAAATGCTTTGGAGCCCTTCTGCTTTCAAAAATAGATGAGATATTTAAAATTCTTCCTTGAAGAGAAAATATATCTTGGTGGAAAGGACATGGCCTCTAGCTATGTGAGGTCCTTCCTTCCAATGTCTTTGCAAGGCAGCCAAAGATGCGAATTCTAGAGTAGAAAAAAGGAGCACAGCCGGTCTCCGGGATCCTTTGTCCCTACCGCATAACCCTCTCGCAAGCAGAGCCTGCCTCTCTCATCGGCGCATCAGACCCCAGCATTAGGTGTTCCTCCCCATCCCCATCCCCACCCCCACCTCCGTTGACTTTCCTGAAAGAAGGGCGGTTCGGATTTCAGAATTGTTCGCATTCTCCTCCCTATTGCCCAGGTATGACTCACGACTGATCACACGCGAGCGGAGAGGGGACAGAGCAGACACCAGAAAGGGGAGGCCGGAGACCCGGCCGCGCTTACCCATGCGGGAGAGCTTTCCCACCAGCCCCGCGTTCCTGACGGCGGCAGGGCCATGATCCACTCCTCTCTTTTTCTGGAAGACAAAGAAAGCAAAGAGGGTCCAGACACGCCGCGTGCGGGGCGGGAGGGGCCGGGGCGCCGGGGCTGACATCACGGGGCGGCCGCGTGGAAATTTCCACTGGCGAGGAGGGCGCGCCACCTTCGCCTGCTCCCCGCCGCCTCTCCCGCCCTTCCGACTCATCCCGTAGCACCGTAGGCACTCCGTGCGCTCACCCCGCGCTCGCTGCTGCCGTGACCTTGGAAATCGCCCCCCCCCCATGGGGTGGATGCTGGGAGCTCGGGTCCGACAAATCTGGAGAGCACCGCGGCTCGGGCTGTGCATTTGCCGCGGGCGTGGGGAGCTATGGAGCCACTACGAGAGCTACTTCAGAAGCCAAGCATCAATCACACAAAGGCGGCCTGGGGCTTTACAAATCGCCCCGACGGGGGACAAAGGATACAGTCAGATGCTGTCCGCTCCCCCCTTGTCCACTTTGGGAATCGCCTTCTGAAAGAGCGAAGCAGGATTTCCCCTTCCTCCCCTTTAAGTCCCGGTGAGAGGGGTTCAGCCTCCTCCAATTCTCTGCCCCCCGCCCCCCCCAACGCGTACGCGGTCTCAGAAGGGCCGCATGGGGGGAGAGAGAGTCAGGCTCAGGCCTGCAAACCCGCACCGCCGTCCAGCCTTTTGTTCCGTATCCCCTTGCACCGCGATCGCCGCTCACCTGTCCCCGGGAGAAAGGAGCTCCGATGAGGGCCAGCGAGTGCGCCCGTCTCTTCTGGACCTGCAGTGCGGAGTCCGCTTGCTGCTTCAGGAGCCGGGCGAAGCTGCTGCGAAGAGACATGACGGTGAAGAGCGATCCCAAGGCAAGCGACAAAGAGGATCTGAGGGGCGTCGCGGGCGGGCTAGTTTGCTCGCTCGGTCTCTCTGTGCTCTCGGCGACCAAAGCAATGAAGATGCTGCCGCCGCTGCTCATGCCGCGGCTTATAAGCAGCCGGCTCCGCTCTCTCGCAGGTGGGCAGGGCTGCGGACGCGCCTCCGCCTCGCCCCTTTCCCTCGGCCGGACGCGCCTCCGCCCGCCCCGCCGGCTGTCGACCCACTCTTTTATCGCACGCAACCCAATCGCGGCGAAGCTCCCCGGGGGTGTGCCCGCGAGCCCCCCGGGAACTGCCAGCGCCGAGACAGACGCGTGATGGAATGGCTTTTCTTTTTAACATAACCCTCCCAACACACCCCCGACCAACGCATTGTCGTTCCTCCCACCCATTCCGTTACGCTCGACTTCAGATAAGCACGTAAAATACTTTGCAAACTGTAGCTTTGCCCCCTCTTTGAACGCTTACTCCTGGCTTCCAATTTTAGAGGTTTTTTTCCCTAAAGTGGACCGCAGTCCTATGCACAGAGAGGCGTGGGGGGGGGGTAAGCGCCCCTTGACTTGCTTCAAAGGGCCCTGCAAGAAGTTTTAAGGGCCAATAATACAGTATTTTTTGAAAGACTTTAATTACTATACTTCGTAATGTAACAGAGTTCAGGAAAGTGCGCGCGTGTGAGTGAATGAATGAATGAATGAATGAATGATGCTGACTGAATTGCATCAATTCCCCGTCTTGATTTAAAAAGTAATGGGATTTATTTACCCAGCTACGATGTGTAGCATTCTGCTGCACTGAAAGTATTAGCGAGCCTGGGCTGTGGGGTTTATAGGAAGCTTTTCGCCAATGGGGGCAGCTCTCAGAGTTGAACTCGAGGGCTGAAACCGAGCTTTCACCGTCGCCTTGTGCTCCGCCACTTCTGCCTAACGGCACGCGCGTCCTCCCCAACCAGCTCTTGGAGCACCAAACTTGCCCCGCCTCCCAAGGGCCCGCCAGTCTCTCATCCGGATTGCCGTTTCCGGGAATATTCCAGAAGCCGCGCCCACCCTCTGATCGGTTCACACTCTCTCGGGTTGGCTTTCCAATGGAAACGCAGCGCCCGTTTTCCGGGAAGACAAAGGAGGCTCTCACAAATGTTCTCCTAGGGAAAGGAGCGACTGAAGGACTCGACTGACTTGGAGCATCTTGTAAGCGGTGCCGAAAAGCCAGGCAGCCGCATGCGGATGGGCACAAACTGAAGGAAAGCCGGGTCCTGCCACCTCCCACTGGAAAATTCTACAGAAGGACCTGGAACCGCCAACTGAACAAGGTTCCAATGCCATCTTAAAGAGCTATTGTCCGGACTCCTAGCGGAACCCTCCGGTGCATCTACTCGTATCGAGTCTCGGTGCCTGTATAAGATTGCACCTTTAATTCTCTGCTTGCCCAGTGTTGAATCAGATGGTTTTTTCTGCAAGTATTTTTCAAGTTTTCTCTAAAAGGCTGAGCTCCGCAAATTTCACGCACGGTGGTTGCTAAGGATATTTGCAATCGATACTTGGGTTTTGTCTTCCGAAGATTATGGCTGCAGTCTTATGCACACTTCCCTGAGGGTGAAGTTCCACTGAACTTTCTCCTGAGTAGACATGGTTACTTAGGATCGTGTTATTTGTGGGGTTTAGCCTTCCCCAACCTGGTGCTTTGCAGATGGTTTGGAGCACAGCTGGATGGGTCCTGTAATTACCACAGCTTGCTAGTAGATAGTTCCAAGTGACACAAGTAAATAGGAAATCTAAGCTCCAATCCTGCACCCATTTATCTGGGATTAAGTGCTATAGAAATAGAAATCCGTAGGGCTTACTTTGAATGGACATGCTTAGGATTGCCAGTTAGTTTCTTGGATCAGGAACAGACATCGTAAGAAATTATGATCTTTAAAACTGTAAATTGTGAAGACTGTTTCTTGTTTGCACACATTTCAGAGAATATGAATGCACTGTTTGTGATGTAGGATTTTTATGGTGATTTTTTCCCAGTATGCCACTTTTTGGGAAAAATAATAGGTAAAATAGAAATCGCAGAAAAAATATGAATTAAACTCCTTAAAGCTCATCACATTATAATGAATATTTAAAATGTGAAACTAACAGGATACCTGAAACAACAAGACCATATAATTAATATGGCAACTCTATAAATTAAATCTTTAGATTCCAATTCTGTGCACACTTAAATGGACTTAAGTATCATTGAACTCATAATGCTCTATTTTTGAGTAGAAATGCATAGGACTGGCTTACCAATGCACTTGGATGTATTTCAAATGTGCATGTAAATGCAAAAGAAGTGAAGATGTTTTCAAGAAACCTGACATGGGCAACTTGTAGTTTCTAGATAATACTAGAATGCAACTCCCATCATCCCTCACCATTGACTGCTGCTTGGGCTGATGAGAGTTAACAGTTCAGCATCTGGAATGCCACAGAGTTACCTGCTCTGTAACAAATAAAATAAGCAAACAAAAACACATCACACATTTGCTGGTATTTTTCACTCACCATTTTATGCTCCATATTCTTGTAGGGATAGGTAGATTTGCTCATCTCTTGTACATTTGAAAATGTATGTTGAGAGCCAGTGTGGTGGAGTGATTAAGAGCACAGGACTGGGACTCATCTGATGTAGGTTCCAGTTCCCACTCACCCATGGAGCCAACTAGGTTACTAGGGTCTAGTCATAGACTCTCAGTCCAGCCTATCATAGGGTTGTTGTTGTGGGGATGAGTGAGAGCAGCAGGAGAAGACATCTATAAACTGCTTTGATTATGTTGTAAGAAAAAACATGGATATAAATCTAATAAGAGTCTATGACTAGTGGGGTGGCATATAAATTGAATAAATTAAATAATGAATAAATAAAATGTCACCCTTGTATGTGCTGCTTTTGTGAAAAAAGAAAATGTTAGTTACATAATCCTACTTCGTTTATACAAATCTATGGTGTGACCATACTTAGAATACTGTGTATACTTTGATCACTGCATCTAAAAGGGTATTGTAGAGTTGGCAAAATGCAGAGAAGAGTAACTAAAATGATTGAGGGGTTGGAGCATCCCCTTTATGAGGAAAGTTTACAACAGCTAAGATAGTTTATCTTAGAAAAAGTGGGGACGTTACAGAAATATACAGAATTATGCATTGTGTGGAGAAAGTGGATAGTGAGACAATTTTCTCTATTATTTAACAGTAGAACCCAGGGTCATTCCATGAAGTTGATTGCGGGGGGCGGGATTCAGGACAGGTAAGAACATCTGAAGAACCTAAGTAAAATCATGCTGGATCAAACCAAAGGTTCAACTAGTCCAGCACTTGGACACACAGTGGCAAACCAGCTGCCCACAGCATCCCTCAAGCAGGAAGTGCACGTGCCCAAGCTGCTCAGCAATTGGTGTATGCAGGCATGCCACCTCTGGTAAAGGAGCTAGCAGTCCACCAGCAAAGCTAGTAGCCACTGATAGCCTCCTCCTCCACGAATCTGCCCAATCCCCTTTTAAAGCCATCCAGGTTGGTGGCCACCATCACTTACCAAGGCAGGAAATTGCATAGTTAAACTATATGTTGTGTAAAGTATTACTTCCTTTTATCTTTCCTAAATCTCCCACCAGTCAGCTTCATGGGATGTTATGAGAGAGGGAGAGAAATTCCTCCATCTTGCCTTTCTCCACATGCATTGTTTTAAACACCTTTATCATGCCTCCACTTACTCACCTTTTTTCCCTAAACAGTCCTAGTTGTTGCAACTGCTCCTAATAGATGAGTTGCTCCAGCCTCTTGATCATTTTTGTTACCCTTCTCTGTACTTTTCCCAACTCAATAATGCCCTTTTTCAGGTTAAGTGACCAGAACTGAACAGAATATTCTAAATGTGGTCATAATAAAGATTTGTATAAGTGGAGCAAGTGTTGGCAGTACTATTTTCTATTCTATTCCTATTATTCCTTGCATGGAGTTTCCCTTTTCAAAGCAGCTGCACACTAGGTCTACATTTTCAGCAAGATGTTTACTACTACCCCACTTTCTTGCTTTCTTGCTCAATCACTTTCTTGCTTAGTCACTGCTAGCTCATATCCCATCAGTATATACTTGAAGTTGGGATGTTCTTTGCCCCAACATGCATTACTTTACTCTTGCTTCTACTAAATTGCATTTGCCATTTGATGCCCATTCCCCCAGTTTGCAGAGATTCCTTTGGAGCTCCTCACAATCCTTTTTGCTTTTAACCATCCTAAATATTTTAGTTTCATCAGCAAGCTTGGCAACCTCACCATTTAGTCCTAATTCCAGATCACTTTTGAATAGATGGAAAAGCATTGGTCTTAATGCAGAACCCTGTGAGACTCCATGGGTGACATCTCTCCATTGGAAGAAATTGCCATTTATTCCCACCCTCTGTCTTCTGTTCTTTAACCAGTTAATGGTCCATAAGAGGACCACACACCTATTCCTTGACTGCTTAATCATTTCATTTCCCGTCTCAAGATCACCCTGAGCATTCTGGGCTGGGGAATAATAGTATAGGCCTATGGCTAAGTTAGTTTTGATTCTCTGATTCTGTGACGGAGTCTTCACACTTCAGATTATCAATTTTGCTGGACTCAATGCCCTCCTTAACATAGAGGGCAACATCACTGGTATGCCTTTTCCTGTCTTCCCTATACAGTTTAGATCCAGAGATTACTGTATCCCATTGGTTATTTCTACGTTACCAGGTTTCTACAATGCCCACTATATCTAGCTTCTCCTTGATCACCAGGAACTCAGCTCTCCCATTTTGGCCCTAAACTTTTAGCATTTGCATTGGTACACCTAAGCACATAGAAACACCTAAGCACCTTCAATACACAGAGTGCTACTTCGCACAGCACATAAATTTGAAATTAATTTCCACAAGATGTGATGCTGGTCACTATTTGGGATGGCTTTAGAACAGCATCTGACAAATGCATGTTGGAGAAGGCTGTAAGTGGCTAGTCCGGATGGCTATATGCTAACTCCAGTAGCAGAGGCAGTATGCCCTTGTCTACCAGCTGCTGGGGTCCTTGGGAAGGAAGGTGCTACTGCCTGTATAATCCTGTGAGCAGCTGGTTGGCCTGTGTGTGAACAGAACGTTTAACTAGATGGGCCTATGGTCTGATTTAGCAACTGTTATTACATATATCAATAATAAACATAAATGCTTCTTAAATCCATGCTCAGTTTCTTCTTTACAAGAAATGGGGAGGGGGGGTTAAAACAAGCTTGCTATCTGTATGTTTGCGAGATCAAAAGGACCAGCTTTGGTTCGCGAGATGAAGACATTTCTTCCCTGCTGGATAATGACCTCGGGGTTGCCAGATGCTAGCTTCGTCTGAGAGAGGCAGCGAGAGCAAGTTATGTTTTGCGGACGACCGACGGTGTCCGCTACGCAGCTGCTCCCAGGCGGCTAAAGCCGGGCAGCTGCCCCACCAGCCACCCGAAGTCCGTCAGTGCTCGCTCGCCGCCACAGCACAAAGAGACGGCCGGGCCGGGGATGAGCTCTGCTACCACTGAGCCGCAAAGGCTAGAGCAACAGGCGGATGTGCCAGTCGTCGGGTGCAGCCGCTCTGCGCACCCGGGAGGCCCGCTCTTGTCGCTCCCTGGGCCAGCCGAAAAATGGCGGACGAAAAGGGGTACCTAGCCGTGTCCGGGGAGCGCATCACGTTGCAGCGCCGCCACCACAGCGCCTCTTGCCGGGAGTTCCAGGTGCGCTGCCCGCGGCTGCAGCTGCGGTCGCTCAGCGCCGTGACGTGCTCCGTGTGGCTGGCGGCTTATGGGCTCTTCGTCGTCAGCCAGGTACCAAAGCGAAGCCGCTGAGGCCGGGCGACCTCTCCCTTCCCCACCCTCCTGCTGACTCCGCCTCTGGTACCCGAATCCCCGAAGCGGACCCAACCGTGGAGAAGGCTGCTGCGTGACCCGCCATCTCGAGGGGTGTCCCGAATTTTCCCGCAGCCACTATTTCACCCCACTGCCTTGTAGGCTTGGCGAACCCCTCTCGGCCCCGTTTTTGTGTTACCTAACGGGTCCTGTGCTTGTTTCCTCAGCCCTCAGATCAGCAGTAAGTTTCTCTGAATTAGGTAGGGTTCAATTCTGTTCAATGGCAGTAAGTTCTGAACAGGTCCCGTGGCAGCAACAGAACTAGTGGAGGCATCTATTGATGCCCAGACTGACGAAGTGATGGCGTTTTAAGACAGAATTATTGCTTAAGCTGCAGGTTGAGGAAGAAGAATGGAGTTTACTGTATGAGCTCGCTTAGGATTGTTATGCGGTTTCCAAAATGCAGGGAAGGAAGATTTCAAGTAATCCAAGAGCCCCCCAGAATCAAGGGAGTCAGTGAAAACCATATAAACAAGTGGAAGTTAAGTTTGTATGCCCAGCATTTGAAATGTTGCAAAGAGTTTGTATTCTGATCTCTATGCCAGCACATTCCCCAAGATATTTACATGGAGCTGGATCTAGTTTCTCTTCCACTGGTAGGAACATATCTGAGTGGTGCTTCACTTAACACTGCTCCCACTAATGAAATTGGCTGGGGGTGGGGGGAGATCTTTTTAAATTTTCCCATCTCGCTGCAGTTCCCAGTGTCACCTCCTTCAATGTTTCAGACCCTCTAGAGCAGATTTTCAGGTTACAGTAGAGAATGAAGGTTGCATCTTCCCTTGTTCAGCCAGCAAAAATAGCTTGTAAGCTATCAGAGAATGGACAGAAAACTTGCGGGGAAATCCCTGGACCTTAGTCATTCCATATAACTACCAGTGCTTACATCTATAAAAACATAAGAAAAACTATGCTGAATCAGGCCAAACCCTGTTCAGCATTCTGTTCATACAGTGGCAAACTGTTGCCTGCAGGATCACACAAGTGGGTGTAATTGCAATGGCACCTTCCTCAAGTTCCCCAGCACATGTTTTACATAGGCATCCTGCCTTTGATATTAGAGGCAATATGTAACCATCAAGATTAGTAGCCATTGATAGTTGCCTCCTCAGTGAATTTGTCCAGTCCACTTTCAAAGCCATCCAAAGTGGTGGCCATTGCTACATCTTGTGGCAGTGAATGCCTTATTTAACTATGTGCTGTGTGAAGTACTTCCTTTTATCTTTCCTCAGTCTCCCCCCACAATGAACTTCATGGAATGACCCTGAGTTCTAGTATTATGGGAGAGGGAGAGATATATTTCCCTATGCACTTTGTCCATACCATACATAATTCTGTACACCTATATAATGTCTCTTATTCTTTTTTCCCCCTAAAAAAAATCTTGGTTGAGGTAACCTTTCTTCATAGAGGAATTGCACTAATCCCTTGATCATTTTAGTTGTTCTTTTCAGCACTTTTTCCAGCTGTACAATATACTGAGATTTGGCATGCAGAAACTATAGATTTGTATAAGGGGAGCATGATATTGGCAGTTTTATTTTCAGTTCCTTTCCTACTTATGCCTAACATGGAGTTTACCTTTTTCAGAATAGACACATTAGGTTGAGCTGTCAGTCCCATCCCCAAGATTCCTTTCTTGGTCAGTCACCACTAGCTTAGATCCCACTCACTTGTACTTGACGTTGAGACTTTTTGCCCCAAAATGCCCCTTATATCTTCATACCATGTTGGGTAGTCCATGTTCTGAAGTTTTAAGGACATATTTTAAATGTACATCTCTGTTATTGTTTAATGTTATATAGCTTGGTCTCCCTTTTTTACATCTAAGCACATAACTGTTTGCTTATACAGTTATGGTGAGTTCTTGATTTTATTCCATATTGTTAAATAACTTGCATGGGCTATCCTTTCTTTGGAAGGTTGTTTGATAATTATGTTAGTTTACTAGCTAATTAATAGAAACTGCTTCCATCTTGATGTTGCAGAATTCAGTCTTATGTTCTTGACTTTTTTTCTGTTACAGAATAGTATGGTGCTCTCTGCTGCTATATTTATCACACTGATTGGCCTACTTGTCTACCTTCACTTTGTGAAAATTGACCAGGAATCCCTGCTGATTGTTGGCTCACTTGGAATACAGATGACTTCATCCTACGCATCTGGCAAAGAGACTACAACCTTTATAGAGATGAACCAAGTAAAAGATGTGGTCATCAATGAAGCCATTTCTATGGTAAGCATTATGTGCTGTAGGGCAGGAAAACAGGCTTATGAGTAAGCGATAACAATAGAGTGCATGTTCATTTTCTCTTTTCCTTCAAACATTGGTGACATTAAGGACACCACTTGCATGAGGGAGGTTTGTGTGTGTTCAGGATTTCAATACTTTGCAGCAACATCTGATCTTATGCTTCATTTTGATATTTGTTGGAGGTTTGGAAACTTTTAAAGGACTGTCCATTAGTAAAATATTTCCATGTAATTAGTTGGGAAAATCTGCATTTGCATTTCAATGCTATTAGGAAGAAGTGACCCCCCTGATGTGACATGGAAAGTGACCTTTTATGCTAGATTGCAGGGTTAAAAAATAGACCCGTATAACTTGCAATATACAACAGCTTTCACACTGTACGATTTGTGTATTATGTTTTTGTAGCAAAAGGTTATCTATTACCTGTGCATCCTTCTTCAAGACCCCGTGGAACCTCATGTTGTTTCTGAGGTAGTGCCACTGTTTCAGGTGAGTTCATTGTATATACTGGGGGCTCCTACATTGTTTATTCCTTGATACCACACAGTTTTTTCTTGCTGGCTTATCCTCAGAGCCCATCTGTTTGATTTCATTATTTATTCAATGGGAAGCACAAATGAGTACAGGCGGTCCCCAAGTTAGGAACACTTGAGTTACCAAGCAACCCATACTTACGAATGAACTGCCCTAAAACCTATTAATTTTAGATTAATTTTAGATGCAGAAAATCATCATCACCCTAGAGAAAGAGGAGGCAAGAGGGGCGAGAGGGAAGGCTTCCAAACCATATCTTTGGCCACCCGAAGAGGGAAATATCTTAGCATTTCCTTGCTGCAAAGAGGAGATACTGATGAGTTTGGGGTGGGGGCTAGAGGGATTTGTGATTTTTCTACTTTCATGGTGCTCCAGTTCCCTTAACTCCCGCACACATGGAGGGCCGACTATACATGATCTGACTTACAAATTTGAGTTAAAGATGATTTTCCATTTTTTCAGGAATGGAACTCATGTGTAACCTGGGGCTGCCTGTATTAAAAATGCTGCAAAATATTTGTTAGGCTGTGCACAATTGACAATGGCTCTTTATTTTCAGCACTATGTACAAAATCCAGAGCACTGTTTTTTACGTGATCTCATTAGCAGCCTGGTGTCCAGGAACGCTGGGTATGTGTTAGCTTGAAATTCACTGAATTGTAGTAACTCCCTCTTCGATATAGCAGTGACATGCTCAGTTGAGCATGGATTGACTGCTGAACATTTTAGATAGTTAATTTTGCACAGGTAGGTGGGGCAGTAACCCTTGTCACCCTTTGCTGCATTTAAGCCCTTGTTTTTCTCAGTTTTGTTAGTTCTAAAGAATACAATTTACCATCTCACTGAGTCTATTAACACTTCTATAATCACATACTAAATTAACCGGTTTTTCTATGAAATCTCTGTGGCAACCTTCACAAAGAACGTTTCCAAATGGACTTTATTCTAAGAGCTGTCTTTAGGAGCTCAAAAGTCATTAGAGAGCTAAGTGTGGGGGATGAGGTACAAAATGACTGGGGAGACTGGAATAACATGCAAAACATTAATTTGCTTCTTAAATTTTCAGGAGTAGAAGAACATAATTTTCTGCTTATTCTTCAGTGTTAGTGTGGATTGAGTTTTAGAATACTATTTAATACTATTTATGGATGACCACATCAAAATAAGGCATTAGCAAATTCAGGCCTTTAAATCTTTCTGCTTATTCCAGTTTTGCCAATAAATTTATTTCTGCAGCTGTCAAGGCTAGAAACAGATTTTGGCACAATACTTATATTCTTTCCATTTGTATTATGATAATTGCCATAATCCTTGGAAAAGCAATGGAGGCATATTTTAAATAAAACTCCTTTAGGATTTCTGAGAAAACCCCCATAAAACAATATGATTTTGTCAGATGGTGTTGCCTATCATTATGCCATTTCGACTGTACTTGCATTCAGGTGCATCACCTAATACAGATCCGCTAAATACAGATCTGCTAATATAAAGATATCATAGATATTCAAGATTAGTATAAAATCAAGACTCAGTTAACTGAATGATTAATAAATGAATTGCAGATTGCAGTATGGTTTTCTAATTGTTCTATCCTTGGTAGAGAATCAAAGAATCACCTATTATTTGCGCAGTGAATACGCAATCTTCCTGTAAACACTGTGACCAGATTTGGATCACATATTGTGGTTTGCCGTGGATTATTTAATTAATTATGAGCAGTAGTGCCCACAGGCATCAGATTACATTATGCAAACCTGGCAAGCATGGGTTAATGCAAGGATTAACACCCCTTCCAGTCCTATGCTTGCTTGCCAGGTTCCCACAACAGGACAACTTCCAAGCAGGCATTCCCTATTCAGAATAGCAGCTGAACGCAGCCCACACACACCACAGCCGCACCTTGGGTTCAGTAATCCACAGTGAGCAGTCACGGTATGTAGACTGCCCCCATATCTTTGCAATTTGTTTAAGATAAATGGTATGTACAAGAAATTTCCTCAAAGTATGTCTTTTGAATGAGGTGATTAATGTGTTTAAAGAAAACATTTAATTGTTCCTTTGAGAATCTTTAATCTGTTGAAAGTCTTTAAAATGACGGAAGTGTAGCTGAAATGAAAGATGGACAAAGGAGACCTGCTACAGAAACATCATAGTTATGGGACAGACACACCATTGTTTATGTCACAGAGCCATCTCTGTGTAGCATGAGGAGCCATGCTCAGCCATCATCCCCTTTTTTGCCCTCCCCCATGCTTAGTTTGTGTGAAGATTTCCCATTCTTTCAGCCATCTAAGCATCTCTCATATCTTTATTTCCCTTTAACAGAGTTCCAAGCCACGTTTAGATTGCCTTGTAGAAGTGTACAAAAGCTGCCAAGAAATCCTGGAGCAGAGGAAGAAATCTTGACATCAGCTTTTAATGTGCGTTTTTTATCAATGTAGATAATTTGATATGCTGAGAATCCCTAAAAGTATTTGAGAAGGGATTCAGAGGCAAGTATGTTAATGAACTTGGCCATGTGGATAACTAGACGGTAGTGGACCCAGGGAACTGAACATTGCTAATGCTTTCTTGGGCCAGGATGGAACGTGCAAGTTTGGAGAAATGTCAGGGAGAAGAATTACTAAGCGAGGCCCCACATCTTCTTTTGTCAACATGATGATGAAAGAAACTCAATGATAATCTTATTTTCTGTCAAAAATTAACTCTACTTAATGACTGGAAATCTACAAGGAAGGTTCAGCAGAAATGGGATGGAAGCAGGGAAACTGCCCCTTAATAAACGTTCATGGAAGAATGGAATCCAACAGTTCCATCACGTTTTGTTTTCCAACAGCTGAATACTTGGATTATGGGACCGGTCTGTCATCAGTGTTATGTAATTGGTTTTATTTTATATAATTGCTTTTAAATAAAAACTTCAACTAGTTTGTTTTAGCATAGTTTGCAGTGTTGCTCTGTATGTATGAGATGATCTTCATTGATATAATTCCTAAGCAATAGCACTTTTTTCTGGATCACCTAATGATTTGGTTACAGTCTAACGAATGACACATGCATTCAACTCCCAAACCCTAGTGGGGTGGCATTTGCTTGTACTAGATGTAGAGAAGCTTGGGCCCAGGGACCAAATCCCACCCTTCAGTGTTCTCCAGATGGTCCCCAACCACTGACAGTTTGGTGATTTCTGGCTTTTGTGCAGCTCTTTTACTCAAAAAGGTAAAAATGACACTGGTTTAATTCCTGGTAGCAAGAGCTTTAAGCTAAATAAAATGTGCTGGTATTTTTAGTATGTTTACTCCTTTTGCTTTTGGCTCTCATAACCATTGGAATGCAGCCCTCAGAAAATTCTCAGAAATGAAGTTTAGCCCTCATTGTCCAAGAGGTTCAACACCTTTGGCTAACACCTAAGCAACAAGCTAGTAATATTCTATTATAGACATAGACAATAACATAGTTATCTTTTGTTTTACTGATAGTTACATTTATTAGCATCACCATCTTCTTGCTACAGTACATCACATAGCTTTTTTATACAGAGAGTAGTGGTTAAAACCATTTTTTAAATTCATGCTACCAATAGATCATGTTGCATCTACTATCCAGTTAGGACCATGGAGTTGTCAAATAAAACTGAATAAACTGTTCCACCTTTGCAACAGTGGAATTGTACACATTTGGTAGGATATTTCTACAGTTTTCTGTATTCAGATAAACTATAAATAAATAAATATAGATGAGTGCCTGTGGAGATCTGAGGAATGAGAGTTGGGTTCAGGTCTCAGTGGGATCAACTAGTATGATACTATATTTTAGTCTCCATTCCTCCTGCATAAATTGGGACTATCAATTCCTTTATAATGTGGTTGCGATGGCGAACAAGTAAACCATAAAGCACTTTTAATTTGCAAATTATTATATAAGAATTTAATTAGCATTCATTAGTGTGTGGTGCTTCTTTGAACAGCTGGTTCAACATAGATGAGTGAGTAAGGAAGGTGAATTCATATGACTGCCAATGGGAACAAGCTGAAGCCTTGTCTGAAATCAAAGGAGCAGTTTGAAATTTGATTCTAAATCCCTAACCTTAATGCATTATTTGAAAGTAAGCAATGTCCGTTGAAATAGATAGGACATGCACTGCAATCTTAGAACAGATAGGACAATCTTAGATGCATTGTTTGGGAGTAAGCAGTGCTAAGAGCAGTAGATTACTTGACTCCCAGATGCAGTCAGAAAATTCACCTTCTAATTCAGATTGCTGCACTGCTGATTTGCCTAAAAATATGAAAAATAACCTCTAAAGCAGTGTTTGAGGTCGGGCAACCTATAGCTGTTCAAACAGTCTGAAGGTAAATAGCCCTGACGAACACGCGGAAGATCATGAGTACATAGAGCAAGCATCAGGAGGTTATCTGCTCCTTGTCACAATTTCATCAGACCCTGCTTTTTGAAAGTTAGGACCATAACAAAGATACTGTCAGAAAGTAGGTAGAGTTTTTTTTTAAAAGATACCAGAGACCTTTAAAGTTTATGGTTAATTTGAAACAGAACCAAACTCTCAGTCGAGAGCAGCACATACAAAAAGGTACTGCGTGTGTTTAGAAGTCCAAAGGAATGGATAAGGAGGCTTACACCCATCTCAATTGCAAAATGAATGTGAACACTTTTTGCTGGCAGCAGCATGCCATTGAGATGGGGATCTGGTTTCTAATTGTCTTGCTTCTAGATATGCACCTTGCTGAGGATGCACAGCCAGACACATAGCTGTATGGAATATGTGCAGGCAGATAGTTAAGCAAGCAGATTTGAATGTCTGGGACTCGCTCTTTTGAGGCAGAAAGTGTTTCCTTTCTAAGGCACCCACCATTCCACTCCATGCAATAATTTGCCAAATACCTTGACCCTGGATAATGGGTACACTAATCACATTAAACAAAAATTATCTGCAAATTCCATTAGTTCTGTTGTACTAGAAAGTCTGGTGGTACAAGTCTGGGTGGTTAGGTAAGTGCATAAGGTTTCATGGGAAAATAAATTGCAGTAACCATTACAGCTTGTATCACAGCTTCCATCTGTTGGTTTTGTCACAAGTGATCACTGGAATGAATACATTTCATCAGTTAGAAGATCAAGAAGGATTGTAATTTTAGACATGTTTGCTAATTACTCCTTGTTTGAAGGAAGCAGGAATGCAGAAAGTAACTATTAGTTTTAAAAATGTGGTGTTAAACCAATCCTAGGAGCCAATAGAATCATATACCTTTCCATTTCATTGTGATCCCAATCCTAGGGGTAGTAGTTAGCACATTCAGAAATAAATACAATACATTACAAAGTATGTACCTGAGACTGTACTTGCTAAAATGCACCTCTACAGCAAGAGCCGAGGAATTGTCCTTTATGTACAGTAGCTAATGCTATGCTATAGTATCTCTGTTCAGTAGAACACATTAGAGATGGTACCTTGCAATCATTCAAACCTTTGCCAAATCCCATGGCGACCTAAATTTTACTAATATGTTCCTTGTGCCCATCCATATGCTGCACCATGTATGAAAGCTGTTCTACAGTGAATTGAGATTTTTCATCAATCTTTTATATTTAGTTTAAAGCCTATGCAGCATACAACCATACAGCTGGAGGGAAGCTTTTCTGCATCACCAAGAGCAAGCGCCTACCTTAAGACCAAATCAGTCATTGGCCAGGTTCAGACATAATGTCAAATTAGGGTACAAACGACTATAGTACGATGTGATGTTGTCTGAACCCAGTCAGGGACTTGCTGCATGGTATGTTTGGTGGCTGTGTAATAACACAGAGAAACAAGTTTGTTGTATGGTTTCCATGCTTCACCATGGCTTGTTCAATAGCGTGAACCCAGAAATGTGGTTTCCATGTGGCTACCACAGAATTCTGTGGAGTGACTGTTGCTTGAGGAGTCGCTCCTGCCTGCAACTTCTGCTGTCTAGATCTGCCTAGCAACTGATGCGTCAGCTCCAGCCATACTCTGATTGGCTACCCTGTGCTTCTTCCCACCTCTGGCTTTTCACTGCCTTCCAGATGCCCACTTGTGGTTTTGGAATGGTGCTGATAGCAGGCAAATGCACCAAGCTGCCTCAAGCTTGCAGTTAGTGAATGTTTGGTGCTCCTATCTGGTCCAATAGTTCACATAAACTCTGGCAGAAGAATTGTTCCCTTCTCTACAAAGTTGCCCCTATACAAAAGGACTACATGGGTTACACCTGGGGCATTGCCTACAAGGCAGTTGCCCCCAAAAGCCTATGTCCTCCACTCTGCTTCCTCCCTTCTCCTCCACTCCTATAGTTTCCCTAGCTTTGCTTGGGACTATCAACAAGCCTCCCTGTCACCTCTGCTGTCTGAACCTGCTGATGCCTACCATTGCCGGGCATGAAGTGCAGGTAACCCATGTTGCAGTGTTCAGTGGATTAGGAAGAACTACCCATGGAAATCCCACCGGTAGAACCTCCAGCCTGGCATGGATGTCAGTCTACTTCAGGGCAGGAGCCATGTTAGAGTGCCACTCTGTGCTTCCTGCCCGCTCTGCAAAGAAATACTGGGCTGGCGAATGGGGTCATGGTGCAGATGCTCACCTCTCCCTGCCACAGCCCTATTAGCAGCTCTCAGAGCCCCTAGTGCATCACTGCAGGCTGTCTATGCACTTATGGAGCAGGCAGTCCCAGGTGTAGGGAACCTGCATCCAGTGGCTTCGTGAAGCTCATGGGAAGGGAAGCAGTGGGGAGTTTATGGGCACAGCTGTAGGGCAGCAGAGCTCATGCACCAGCAGAAGAGGCTGCTTGCATCAACACCTGGCATGTTTCCCTGTCCCCGAGTCCCTGTGATGCTGCAGCAATAAAGACACGGTTTGCAACAGCAGTGTGGCTCTGGACAGGAGGGCTGGCTGTGGGGACAGATGGGGAGGAATGAGGCGTAGCCGATCAGGCCATTCAGGGCACCCCCTGGCACATGATGGCGTGCTTGGACCTGCCCTCACTGAAGCTCTTCATGTGCCTAACTGCAGGGGAGAGGCAGCCCATGGCAGTGTATGCAAATCCTGACCCAGGGAAGTGTGGACATGTCTGCAGCACGGGAGGGGCAGGGAAGAGGTGTGAGTGTGGGTGGGTACGCTTATACATTAGCTCAGAGTGCAGCAACATTGGAATGCTAAGCAGTGGGGGGGGGGGACATGCCCAGGGGAGCATGTGGAGCAGTGAGGGAGGGGCAGGCAAAGTAAACACGAGCAGTGTACCCTGGCATTGAATTTTGGCTATCGGGCTGATGGGATACCTTCCACCATTAGGAAGAATAAGGGAGGTGAAAACCATGCAAGCATGGAAACTGCATACTCATCTAAACACCCAGGTAAGAATCTATGCCACATGGGAACCATGCAGCATGGTTTAGCGGTACATGTGAACACAGCCATTAAGTATCGCTCACTTATATGGTCCAGTTTTCCTTGAAGACAGCCCAGATACACTCTAGGCCAGTTGCTCTATTGCTGAGCTTTTCTTATCTCTACTACTCTTATCATCCTTATCCAAATATTTAAGCTGAATTCATCTTTCTATAGCCCTGACCCACATTTCATGTTCTTGGTGCATGTAACGTGTAATTGATTTCACACGTCTTTTGTGCATGCTGCAAATAACTTTAAAATTGTCAGTATAACAATCATGTAGCTTGGTCCTATGCAAGTTTACTTGGAAGTAAATTCACCAATTAATGGGGCTTATTCCCACATAAAAGTGCATTAGACTGCAGCCTTAGTTTTCTTTTTGTTACACATACCCAGTTCCTTCAGCATATACCTAGTTCCTTCAGCATTTTTTTTTACTGAATCTTCTTCTAGATATGTGATCATCCTTGTAACTCTCATTTCCAGTTTCTCAGTCTGATTTACATCCTCGGTGTTCAGAATTACTTGTGTCATGGTTTGTTGGAGGGTTAAACAATACTCAACCCAACCAAATGGGATGGCTAATTAAACAAATGGGCCCCAGCTTGTGCTATAGTTTTGTTTAAGCCATACAAAACTGATCATAATATGGCATCACCACATCATGCATTTCCTAAACTTTACTGCATGTTCTTGGCTGTCCCTTGTGTGGCACTTTAAAATAAAATTGGTTATTTATACAACAATGTAATAATGTTTATTTATGTTCACACTAGTTTCTGCTACAACACTTGAATGTACAACTGCCTAATTCTATATGCATTGTTCTCTCCTTACATCCACCCACCCACTCACAACATTTGACTTTGGGCATTGTCATTCTTTTTTTTTTTTTTTAATTGGAATAGTGCTGCAATTTGAGACTATTTTCAATTTTTGGTTGAGCCATTAAAGTAGGAAGGGCCAATTTTCCTGTATTCTTCAAGCCTCTTCAGACTGTAGCCCAAGGACCAGAGATGCATTTTGCAGCTTCCCTCAACAAGCCCCTCACAGGCTCAGTTAAAATGTTGGCACCACCTTGGGCTTCATAGTTATGTAGCATATGCAATCCAATTTGACTCGGGCATTAATAAACAAAGGCAGAAAGAGGTATAAATGTGAAAAATTTAGAATACCTCTCTCTCATACTATGGGAAAAATTGCCCTTATCAGTGAATTTATGGGCAAGATGTTCATTATACTTTGGAAAAAAATAGAACAACTGTGGAAGCAGAAGAAATTCCTTGATGGGTTGGAGGTCCATACGTTAATTTATCTCCAGTTCTTTGAATTCAGTTTTTCCAGCCTTGAAGTACTAAATGGAATGCTTGTGAAAATCTGGCACAGAACTCACATACACTGGGGGAAAACCCTTTCTCTGGCTATTTCATTTCCTAAGGCTCTTTAAAAGCAACAGTTTTCTAGTACTCCACCCAACTATTCTCAACCAGTCTAATAGTTTATGAAAATCAGGTACAAAAGTCCTTTATGTTGGGGAAAGCACCTAATCCAGCAACTGCTTCTCCCTCAGCTGTTGTTAAAAAGGCAACAATGTATACTCTAGTAACCCCACACACACACACACACACACACACACACACTTTAGTAACTGCCCACTAAATTGTGTAAAGTCTGTGATTCAGTAGGTTTGACACTCACAATACTCTCAGCATCCATTGCAAGCAGTATATGATTGCAGGATCTTGTTCTCATAACGCACTGGATTTCAAGTAAAGGTAAGAGGAATGCAGCAAAAAATGCATTGTTCTGGGAGGCCATTGGATTCTTCAGAGTCCTAGCTCTGAGATCCTGCAATCCTGTTGCTGGATGCTCATGCGCTTCCGGGGCCAGGGTGGTATGTGCATCTGAGGGTGCAATAGGATTACACCCTGCCTCCAGGGGATGAGATAAGGAAAGAAAATGTTTGGGGAAAACCAGGATTTTAGATAAACAGTTCTGTTTTCATAAGGCTGTGTAGAAGAGACAGAAAGCAATGTCAGGGAATTAAGAGATGACTATCCAAAATCAAGTTACCTGAGAAGTTTGCCACTTGAAAGGAGATGTGTACATGTTCAGGAAAAAAATGAATTAATAGCTGAGAAACATACAAGTAGTAAGGAGATAAAGGATTCCCAGTTATTGTATAAATTAATATGAAAATTCTAGGAGTAGAGAGTGTTGTCTGAGACATAATGCAGTATCTAGAGGACAAGAAGCTAAAGACAGCAACCCTAATATGTAAACAGGTTGTTAAATCTACAGCTTCAATGCAATGCTATGGAGCCATTTGAAGAACTGACATTGAGGACATGACTGGATAGCTGCTGGAGGCAATGCACATATTAAGGCAGAAAATAGTGGAAACAAAAATCATCTGAAAAACAGTTACCCAAATTGCTCAAAACATTCTCCTGGCTCAGCAATTAATTTTTAAGGGTGTTTGGCTCCAAACCCTCTAAGAATGCTGCAGTGCACCAAGGAGGTAGGCCTGGTGTCTGCCTGATTAACCAGGCATATAACCAGTGAATTCACAGCAGGTTTCAATTCACAGTGTGGAAGACAACTTCTCAAGGCACTTGCAGTGGTCCTTACAGCAGTGTAGGCCCCTTAGTGGTCCGCAGTAGGGAAGGAAAAAAAGACCTGCTTTCCAGTTCCATGATCTTCTTAGAAGGACTGACACATGGAGCAGGTGCCACAGGAGGCAGGTGTGGTGATGTTGAAGAGCAGTTAATGTAGCTTGCAATAAGGAGCGTCACCTCCACAATCTGTTGTGGGGATGAAAGGGAAATTCACTTTCTTGGACTTACTGCTCAGCTGACATTTTAGCACAATTTGTGTGTGCCACAGGAGTTATCTGGGACTGATTCAGACAAATGGGCCCACATCTAGCTTATTTCTGTCACTTGTGACTGTTACGCATCTCGGACGAGTAATTTTTTCAAGCCCTGCTACCTGAGAGCCTTTAACCAGGGAGAACTTGAGAAGCCTTTATGCACACTGAAGTATGCACATTATTTGACCCACTCTGCACATGTTTCACCTGTATTTTGAACAGGTTGTAAAAATAATGGGCACTGTCCACCAGGGCCCTTAGGTATCTGTTGCTCAATTTCACCCAGATGATGCCTTTCCTCAAACAGTGGGTTCCTTGATCCCATTGCACAAGTGGGACTTACCTCTTGTCCAAAGGGAAATTTAGCAGTTCCCAGAGGAGGTCCTGAAATGAATGGAAACTCTCCTTTTTGGAAAAAGGCAGGTTGGCAATATGAGCTCTGCCAATCTTTCTCCTTCAAAAAACAAACAATTCTACTTGTTTTGGGCTGCCCTGGAAGGGCTAAATCTCCTTTGTGTGAGGTGTGGGTCCCACTTGTGCAGTGGAATCAATAGGACCCACTCACTGCTTATGGCATGGAATCTGTGAGATTCCCGTGTCCTACAGAGTGGTTGTATAATAGGATTTTACTATAATTGTAGACCAGTTAGCAAGGATAAATGTATCTTTGTGGTCATAAAAATAACTTCACAGGAGGTGTTTGGCTGGTGTGCTGAGAAGTGGGAAGGGGAAAAGACAGGCACTGCCAAGCTACACGGTACCATCATGACTTCTTGGCCTCCTTTTCTCCCACCCCAAAGTGCAATGTTTAGACGACTTTCAGCTAAGTGTTTCACTGGGTAGGAGAGTGGAGGCAACCTTCACCCATGCAATCCTTTAGCTCTGCCTAGGATGCCTGTAATTTTCTGAGTTCAGAGGGTTATGGACAACTAGATTGGATTATGCCCTAAATAATCATCACCGTGTGAAGTTTTTCATTTCTGGGAGATCTCCTGATTGGCACTTCAGAGCAGTCAGTCTGCATTTAGTAATCCAAGTACATTATTATATAGTCATATCTAGAAAGGGAAAAATCAGCTGCCTGTCCTTACACTGTTTGCTTTATACTCACCTTTACAGCAGCCATCGTAAAAAGTAGTTTTTCAGGCCTGGCTTTACCAGAACACCTGTCCTTCACGTGACTGATGACAACCATAAAGTCATCACGGCAGCCTCCAAAGGTCAGTACAGAGGAGTACGAGTAAGTCACCTTTAGGTGCTGCATAGAAGCAAAAGACAGAGAAAAAGGTTGCTATTTGAGAGGACTGGTTTTTCTCCCCTTCCCTACTTGTTTTTAGCATCTGTCCTTAACAGTAAGTACAGACATTTTAAGTATAGTGCTAAGGGATGATTTTCCTTATGTATCCAGAGATCTGCATCTGTAAAAAGAACTGAAGTGGGGCACTCCATGTATGAATTTTCATTTTGAATCAAGCACTGGGAATATGGGACCAACATAGGTTTCCTGACATATATTTTGGGCTCTCCTTGGCAGAAGGATTGTGAAATTCAAGGTGCTCTTAACAGGGCAAGCTTCCTTGGAAGGAAAAAGAAGGAGAAAGATTGTTCCTTTCTGATAGTGTGTTTACAAAATGTATAGGTTAAGCAGGCCTTATGGAAAAGCAAAAAAAAAAAAAAAAAAAAAAAAAAGGCAGAGAAGCAGGCTGTGCTTATGCCAAGACATCAGCATGTAAGCATCCAAACAGAGTGCACTAACAATCACTGGATGCGAAAAACTAGCGGGGAACAGCTTCTTTGTCTGGCATACCACAACAGTACAACTCTCAGCATCATATTTGTATATTTGTAATAAGAATGAACTGTGGTACACAAAATATAAACCATGGAAATCGGTCCTCACTTGCTTATTTGCTCATTCATTAATAGTTTTGGGTCAGGCAGTCTGAATTCGTCAAATGAAATGATAATGACAGGGAAGTGCCATAAAATGCCAGGAGAGTGGTTAAATCATAAATATGCATATAATCCAAGACTATGTATTGAATCAGTTACTAGTTTGGCTGAATGAATTTGAAGTTGACTTTACCCATAAATCTAAACAGTATTCTCTGTTACTACCACCACTGTGTCTGGTCACCATAACCTTTCCTAAGGTCATAATTTATCTTCCTCATTTAATAATTACATATGATTTAAAGAGTTTTGTTCTATAATCAGAAATAAGGACAGAAAGTGCATGTCATTTCTATGCTGTACAATTATAAATGTGATTTTGAAAAAAAAGAACTTCATTTTCCAGGGTTTTTCACCATACCAAAGTATTATATTCCAGTATACTGATTCCATCTTCATTCACAGCTATCCATAAAATGGAGTCTTCCAAAGAAGAAGGTAGAACAGGCTGGGGAAACAAGATAAGTAACAGTAATTCCATGGCAAAGTCATGTAATTATGGTTAGGTGATACCCACTGATACTTGGGGTATCCAGAGCTTATTCTTTGTCAGTGTAATCACTGATAGTTTGGATTGTAGTGTGTATGACTCTAAGGAAATCCTTCCGCATTTTAATTTTATACGAGATTTTAGGACAAATACTGCGATTCTCGATTTAGTCCTAGTGTAAGCTAACATTTTGATACTGGTGCAGTCAATCAATGCAAGGGAAGTTACTTACTCTTGACTTTTTAAAGTAAATAGCTTGCATGTTTTAGCCCTAATTTGTGTTATTAATAGATTTACTGGCATTTTCTTAAGCAAATATCTATATAATATCCTCTTGTAAATAAGTCACACATGCCATTTGATAGCAATAGAATACAGTACTTCTGGCAGGACTTTTACTGCAAATATATTAGTCTAAGGAAAAATCAGTTTCTTCCCCTAATTGGAAAGGTTTGTAGATTCAATTGCAACTCAGTCAGGATTTCAGAGGCTTGCCTTCTGGATGAAAAGAAGCTACAAAACCCTTAGTAAGAGGGAAGCCCCTTTGAAAACAGTAGGACTTCAGAGTAAACTTTCATAGGATTGCATTGTAAGGTAGTCTAAAACCTAAAATCAATTTATTAAAGTATTTCTGGAATCACTACATGCCTGGAAATCTTCCAAAAGAAGAAATCAGATTGAGATAATTTCTCCCATAGATATTTGTCCAGTTAAAATTAGTTCATTTTACAACTTATAAAAGTATTTGTGATGATATTGTGACACCTAGTGGTTCTGGAATCGCATGCTTAACACCTTGAAAACAGAAAACAAAGGTAGCTATGTTGACAGTAAGAAAATATGGAGCCTAAAAGCAAAGTCTGACATCAAAACCTCTCTATCCCTATTTCCCCCCTATCCATCATGCTTTCCTAGAATTGGGAAAAATCTGGTATTTTCGCCAGAAAAAATATTCTTACTAGTTATTATAGTTCAACAGTGAATAAAAACTGATCATGTAAATGGACAAAGATAATTACCTTGGCAGGAAATAGTTTGGCTCCAAAGAGGGGCCATTTCCGAGCGACAGTCAAATAGATCCGGACACATTCCTGCGGAGAGCATCCCTGCAGCAGCATCCACTTTGTAGTCAATTGGTCAGCCAATCGCCTATAGGAATAATACCAATTTAATATCTTTAAACCACCTAGTGAGCTTCCACTTTGGGACAATATAGAAATGAATTTTATTATAATAATTTAATCTAATATTGTAATTTCCAACACCTGAATTGAGTTCTGCACAGCAGCTTTTATAATAAAGTAGTATAGAACATTAGCTATTCTTATGCAAGCCGCTGCTGATATATTTGAATATATATTTCAAAGTCATTTGACCTTTGTTTATATCTCAGGCATTACCAGATTTCACAAACTGGTATCTGACTAACATGTCTGAAAATATGGATCTTACGCTATACTTAGACATAATGTTTCCAAATTAAAAAGTGCCATTTTTTTTGAAACAGGATTAACAAGGATGAACATACATTTAGATCTGTAGCACGACAGATTAAAGGCTTGAGATTGTAGCCTGTTGAATGCGAGTGTTCTTTTTTTGGTCTTAGCCAGTTGTACACTTAGTAATCGCCATTTGAGAGAGGGAGAGGGTTTGGATTTTGTTTGTTTTTGAAATGACAATTAGCAAGTAAGGACTATTAGCTGTTTTTTATAAATTTCAAAATCAGAATCCTATTATCTTAAATAAAGTTAAAATAACAGGCAACAAAGAATACCACCACAAGAAACAACATGAGTAAAGAAATGCACTCCTTAGTATATCATATGTACACTTGTGATACAATTAGAGTAGAATAGCTTAAGGAGAAGCTCACTAACTATTGCGAGAATTCAGATGGGCAAATTATGTAGCAGAAATATAGTCAGCAAAAATATAGACATCTGCATTTGATTGGAATGTGAATCCCGTTGCCCAAATCTATGTAGCTAATTACAGAAGAAAGCATACAAGGAGCTGTCCCCAACTTTTGTAGTCTAAAAGAGGTGCATATAGTATTTTATTTTTATAAAGGTTTATGAATGTAAGGTTTTATGCTCATGCTTACCTCAGCTGTTTGGGAGTCATACTGCATTTGTAGCGCTTGGGATAGAATTTATCCAGGACCTGCTGAAGGAGATGTTGCATTTTGGAGTGGGATGAGCCCCCGGAGCTTAATGGCACTGGCCGATCCAAATCCCCATATTCCACCTAAGAGAAAAAGTTCAAGATGTGTGTGGGAAAACTGGATTAAAATGCAATGTGAAAGGCAAAAGTGTGTGTGCATGCATGCAAGGAAAGGTAAGCGACCTTTGGAGGCAAAATAAATCAGGAAAGTCCTTAGTGGCATTTAAAGAGAATACCAGATTCAAGCTAATAAATGACACTTGCAACAACTTGCTCAGGGTTCAAGGCACCCATGTCCTTTTTCAGGGTATTTTACTCCCTCTTCCCTGTTTTCTCTGCCTCCCAACAGATGGCCGGTGTTTGAATGCCCCCATTCAGCTGTTGGTTGAAGCATCCTCCTAGAATTTTTTTGTGCTTCTGCAAACCTTGGGGCTCTTCCCAGCATGTTGATACCTCCCTCTTGTATCTCACTGGCCCTTTTTGACTGATGATGATCCTAGCAGCACTTATCAGCTGAGCTTGCTATTAGAGCGAGTTATTATTTGAACTGTTGGAAAAACTAATCATGGCAGGGCTTGTTTTTATTGTGATCAGTCAGGCCACTGATAAAAAGTCAAGCCAACATGATAAAATGCTTGAGGAAATCCCTGATTCTATAGTGACAGCAGAGCAAATGTAGTCTATGGAATATGTATTTCCTTCTACGCCTTCTACTGAAAAACCAGGAAAACCAGACCCGGACTTACAAAAATATGTCATGTCTGCACAAGATTCCTGTATCAATTCTACTAGATCTTGGGGTCTCCTCTACTTTCCCATAACTCCTCATTTTGATCCTCAGTTTGTCCCCTGTACTCAAACTTCTTAGACCAAACCAGCCATAGCATGACAGGGAAGCCATGAGGGTTCCTGCACTCATTCATGAATAAATCACCAAGTAGCAATGAACTTATTTTTCATGTGAAGAAAGGGAAGGGAACACCCCTCTTCCTTACCTTACCTGTCTGAATTCTGCTACTTTAACTACTTTGCTCCCAGCCCATCTCCAATACTCAAAGTGAGTTGATGAGGGTAGAGAAGTGTAAGGTTGAGTTTCTTTCGCCTCCATTCTCTTTGTTCATATGTGTACACCATCAACTTCTGCTTTGCATTTGAAAAGGGCAGACAGGAAGGCAGAATGTAGACAGCCACCTGCCACACATAATGTGTCCCTGAATTACCCAAATGTCCCAGGGCATTGATGGGCTGCTAGTGCTCATACACCAACATTCCTCCTTTGTTGTCCTTCTTTGTCTTCCGGCAGAGCCCATCCCTCTGTTTCTTTTGCCACACAATACTTCATAGTACAGCAGGACCCCTGTATCTGTTGTCTCAGCGTGGTTTCACTTAACCAAGGTTGACCATCAGCCCTCTACATTCATGGGGGTTATGGGAAAAAGACCCCACAAAAGTGGGAAAAAAATGCAATTATCTCTAGGGAACTATGCACGTTGTTTGGGGACGCCATGCTCTTTGTTTTGCTAGTAGCCAGCCTCGCTCACATGCTTTGTCCTTCAGTGGGCACCAAGATGCTAGAGGTATTTATGCTTTCCCCCAGAGATATTTGCAGTTTTTCTACTTTTGTGAGGGTCCAGCACCCCAACCCCTGTGAATGTAATGTCTACTACTCTCTGTGGTTTCAGGCATCCACTGGGAGGCCTAGAACCTATTCCCCATGGATGTGAAAATCCTGCTAGATCACGTATTGGTGCTGTAGGAGGGCAAATTCATTCTATATGCTTTCAGGAAAACATTTATTTATTATTATTTATTTAAAGTTTTTATATGCCTCCTCTTCTGTCCTGTCACCTACAGCCACCTGGTTGAGCAAGAGAGATCTTAGAGATAGAGCACCTTGCAGTGGTCATAAGAAAATAAACATTCAAACTCTCTTTGGCATTTCTCCTACAGCTGGAGAGCACTGATGTTTCACTGCCTTGGAACTGCTAATGACCACAGGCTACCTTAATCCCACAGGCACAGAAGACTGACCACTTACCTGAGCCATCAAAGCTGCCATTTCCAGAGCAAGCTCTTTACTGACAGGGAATCTCCCGTGGGCTATTTCACCACTTATCTGGAAAGCCAGCAGCAAGCGCTCTCGCTCTGTCTCACCTTTTGCTTGGCTTCGAAAGTACAATCTAATGCCGAGAGGAAAAACAAATATGCCAAGTACTTCCTTAGCACAGAATCTGATTCCTGTTCGACCCAAGCTAAAATGAATATTTATATACCTTTTTTGACCTTAATTTATATAGGGGAGCACACCAGTCTTCTTGAAATGAATGGCTCTTGCACAGCCCCAGCCCATTTCAGAGCTTCTCTGCAGGAGAAGTTCCCAAGGGATTGTGTCCTTAGATTTGCAAAGCTTTGCAAGCAGAAAACACATCAGAAATAAAAAGTAGCACAAGCCCATCATAGGGCCTGTTGCTGCATACAATGCACACTTGGAAGTTTTAAAGAAGGTCTAATAGCTTTGTGATCCCACCTGCTTATAACTAATGTTTGGTAAATACTTGGTAAAATGGGTCAGGAATGGCTGGGAATGGACACAAACCAAGAATGTTTATTAGCCTTTCCACAGCTCCTCAGACTGAATCCAGCACAAGCCAGCTCCCAGTTGGAAGGGATCCTAAGGTGTTGACCTGGTGTATTGGTGCTTAGGAGGATAAAATCCATTACCTGGCAATGGAGCAGCACACAGTGCTATGGAGGAGTTTGGATCACATCTGCATACAAATTAGGTTGGACACACACATCATACAAACAATTCTTGTGGGTTGTAGGTGGGGAAGGTTTGTGCCTTTTCTAGACATTTTCCATTCTTTACTTGTAAGGTAAAGTGCCTAGCAGGAAAGACTAGTTGCTTCAGCAGGGCTTCACCTGACAACTCCATTTCACAGGCAGATACTGCAGTGTGCTCTTATGAATGCAGAGAGCAGATAAGCTTTGTCTACATGCCTAAGAAACAGATTAAGTCTCTTCAGGTATTTCTGCATTTTTCAAAGGAGCTCCCAAAGGAGGAGCTTTTACTTCAACCATCTCTCTGTGTGGGAATCTTCTCCTTTCTGATTTGTGTATTTGAGACACTGTTTTCTCCTTTTCATCCCCTATTCAGATGAGACCACCTGACTAGACAAAAGGACTGTGCCACCCAATGTTCTAATTAGGGGGCAGCCATGTGCCTTCAGAGCCACTGTGGTGTACTTCAAGCATCAGGCAGAGCAGGGCTGAGAAAATGGGGGGCTAAATTGCCCTCACAAGGTTCTCTATGGGGTTAGTAAGCTTTAAGCATGAGCAGCACAATCTGGTAGCCATCAGACATTGTCTAGATGGCCATTGGATTCTTCAGCAATGCAGTTATGAGATAGTAAAAGTGATCTGATCTTATAGCCCAGCCTCTGAGCTGACAGTGCCCTCCCCTTCCCCCTTGCAGCCCACATGGTCTCTGAGGACACAAGGGCAAGTTCAGAGAAGGAAATTTGCATGCATTAGGTTGGGCTTGTAGACATGCCAGAGAGCAAAACAGGAAGAGGCAATATGATGGATCCTGGAGGCACCTCAGCCTCCTCTCCTCATGATATCAAGCATAACACTTAGATGGCCAAAATTGACTGTTTAAGTGTTTTACTGTGGAGGAGGAGGGCGGAGACAACGTTTATCTCTGTGCTTCTTCCACTTTGCATGGGATCTCCATTATCTCTGAGTTCAGAGGGTTATGGGCATCTGGACTGGACTGCACCCTAAATAACCGAATAACAACCACACTTGCACATCCGGTTTCCTCGCAAGCCCTCATATCCAACAGTATTCATAAAGGGACAGTTACAGTTAGTTAACAATAATTGAGAATTTTTATGTGCACATTCGAGATAGGAAACTCTCATTGAGAATTTCCCTAATCCAATTCAAAAATAGAACCCTAAGCAATATAAACATATGAACTGATGATCCAACTGATACAGTCCCAGCCAGCAGTGGAGAGTACCTGTTTTTATAGGTTAGTTTCACTATTCTTGTGCCACCTTCATATTTTCCTGGATTCAGTTCTTTCAAAGCTTGCTCCCACTTTGAAATGACATCACAGATCTTTAAAAAAAACAATAATCAAAGAGACAGAAAGAGGGTAAAGTGACACCAAAACATGAAGTTCAAGACATGCATAAGAAAGGGCACAGGCCAGGTCCTGTGAGCTTGTCCACATCTCATAATTCATAACGCATGAATTCTTATCACTTAATAATGAATATCAATTATTTTTGTCCTATGTGTATCCCATCTTTTCTCCAAGGCAGCATAACAACCTTGTGAAATAAAAACTTGTCCGAAATGAGAGCTCATAGCTAAGGGTCATATCTGAACTAGCTAAGGGTCATATCTGAACCTCGGGTCCCTTGTACTGAGTCAACACAGAAAGCTACTCTGAATTTCTGCTTCCAAGACTGCTCATTCTGTCTCATCAAATATGCACCTTATGGAGATCATTTCATGCCTTTGCCATCAGCAAGTCAGTCATCAGTTGGGCTAATAGTATGGGGCTTAATGTGTTGCTACTAATATGCTACATATTACTATCCAGGTCCATAGGATACCAAAGCAAGAGTACCAAGAACTGACACAAACTCTATGTATCATAAAGTGTGGCTTATGTATTATGGAAGAGTATATTTAAGCAGTAAGAAAGCTCCTGGTAGGCCATCTTTTGGAACTTTTTAATTAAAAAAAAATTAATTGTGATTTAAAATTCTAAATACAACAGATTTCCACCCTGTTTTAACTGACACATTTACTATCTAAGAAGCATTTCTTTCCTAAATAACTGCAAGCAACTTGGCAAGAGAGAGGTAATATTATATATAGTTGTCAACATCATTAAAACAACTATATAATTATATACTTATTCAGTTTATACCAATTTGGAGTTCAACTATAGTAAGTAGCCAGAGGAACAAAATATTTGTAATATTGTAAAATTTGTAATATGCTAGTTTGTAATATTATAAAATATTTGTAATGTGGATTTGGAAGTCATGTACAGAGATAGCACTACAGCAATCACCTTCATGGTGCCTTGCAGGCAATATTCTAGATCTCTGCCTGAAGGATCATCTGTAAAGAGGTGAAACCCAGAGAGGGAGGGCTGCCTCATTCCTGTCTCCTGGTTCAGCCGCTGCAGGAACTCATCCACAGTTGAGGAACCATCAAAGCCTACCACCTACAATCAAACAGACAAAATAATTATGGAGAGCAGAGTGAAATCCATCATTACAACGGACAAGCATGCAGTCACATTTCAGCTGTACAACACATACTACGAATGGATTTAAGTAAAAGAAGGGTTTTGTGTGGAGACCTTTCCATGCTGTCATCTAAGTAACTCTTGCTCCCTGGTTCAAGAAACGCTATGAGCATGCCAGCTGACACGGGCTCAAGATTTGTGACCAGAATTACTAAACAGTGGCACTTGTCCTTCTCTCGTCCTTAGCTAAGGTTAGCTAAGAGGGAAGGCTATGCAGGGCAGGCCAAAATAATCTGCTACTAGAAGTAGCCCAGCAGTTGATATCCTACCCCAAGCAAGATGCATCATCTCCAAGGGCAACCAAGTTATTTTGACACATGAGCAGAATATCCCAGAAACACACCTCCCTATGCTTGACAGTAAAATGACAATAACAAATCAAACAATCAACCTTTCATGAAACTCAAAATCCACAGCCAGAAGTGGATGCCTAAATGGTAGATAAAGGGTTTATTTATGATTATTGAAGAGGTGATAACCACGTGTCTTGTGGAGGGTGCAGAGCAGACCCACTTGCAAGCAGAATCCACTACAAAGGCAGCCACTGAGGCTGAAGGGCTCATATCAAACCATTCACCAAGCCCTGTAAGACCCCCAGTATCTGGTTCCTGAGCCTCATGACTCACCTGGTAGGTTCCATTCATGAAGTGAACTGGAATACTGAAGGGGAGCGAGTGGTGGTAGGGATGCCTCAGTAAAATGGACACGACCTCCATTCGGGATGGTCTGGCTTCTCGCTCTCCAGCTTTCAAAGTATGCTCCATTGATCTCTGACAGTAGATGGCATACTTGCCTATTTCATTCCTAATTACACATGGAGAGAGATTTTCGGTGAGTGATTCACTGGCTTACAACCTTGTTATATAGTTACCTCATAACAAAAATTCTCTGGTGTCTCAGAAAGAAATTCCAAATAAAACTACAGTCGACAGCAATTAAAAGCTAAAACACAATTCAAGCCTTTCAGACTTTAAAATGTAATGCACACAATATTTACTTAATTTAGATATTTAGCATTATCTTTCGGCCTCCATTAAGGGCAGAACCTTCTCAGAGGCTGCTTGAGTGAATAAAAAGGGCTTCAGCTGGTGCCAAAAAGTCAGTATATATGATTCCAAATATGAAAACTGCTCCATATTTGGGGTGTCAGCATCAAAAAGGCCTTTCCTATAGTGGTCAACTGACATATCTTTTTTGGTGAGCAGACCAGATCTTAAGATTTGGCAAAATATTTATGGGAGAGGGTAGTTTTTCAGGTGAACTGGCCCTAAAGGTTTTCAAACTTAAAGTCATTGGTTTAAACTAAGCCCAGAAATGAACTGGGAGCCAGTGTGGTGGATCAAGCCCAGGCCCATTCAACCACTGATCCTCTCACAAAAGGTGCTTTGACCACCAGCCAGCCAAGGCTCTAATTGCAAGACAGGATCAATAAGATTGTGAATCTTTATGGCAGGGTTGCAAAAACCTTTGGCCTCGAAAGGCACACCTATGCTTTACCGGGTCAGTGGGGGCCCACACATTTAAATAAATAAAAATGTGTGCACAAATGCATGTGTGTGTGCTCCCACTAACAGGGCATGTCGTTTCTTTGCTGCCAGAAATGGGGTGTGGAAACACATTCTTCTCATAAATAAGCAGGACTTTCAAGGAGCATGCCAAGTGCCAGGCCTCTGGGGATCTGTTTAGAGGAAGCAAGGCAAGTGCCTCTGCACCTCTATTCAGGTAAGCAAGACTGAATCATTCAGTAACCCCATCCCAGGCCCTGCCTCTGCTCCCTGATGGGGAAAAACTTTTGAGCCTGCAGCTGCTAGGCCCTGCAAAAGGCAGCCTTCATAATTCTATTTGTAAGTCACAAAGCCAACCCCTCCAGTCCCACGATTGCATCACAGTCTAATGTTTTCTAAAGTGTTTCTATACTGATTATTTGTTATTTTTTCCACCTGTCTTAAGTATTTTAAACATCTCATCTTTGCATGCCACTTTGGATATTTTTATGGAGAGCAGCAGACACACTTTGATAAATAAAAATCACAAATACTTTTGCCAATAATCACTTTTAATATATAGGAGTCACTGCATACAGTTGCCATATGAGGCTGTTCCATTAAAGTACCATTTTAAGCAGCTGCTACACTGTGGCTGTTTGGAAGCAAGTCTTAATATGGGCCATTCATACACTGACTCCTTAGTTTAACTGAGCCATATAGCTGACACAGAAAGGATTCGGAAATAACCCAGCCGGGAGAAAAATAAGACAAGATATTCACTTTGGGTCCGCATGCTGCTGCAGGTGGTGCTTAAGAAACCAAAGGAAATGGTGCTGAGGCAAGAAGAGAGGGACACAAAGAGCCAGTAACTGCCAGCACTGTGGAGAAAAATAGTTTTACAGTCAATAAAACTGCTGTTTGTGTTCAGTTCTCCCTGCCATTTATTCTTCAGACAAAAACATTTTATTCCCAGCCCAATTCTCATCAAAGGCTGCTTCACATGTTACCAATGCCACAAGTATAATATGAAAGGGAGACAAATACAATTGACTGAGGTCAGTGGGGACAGGTTGCTCCAAATGCAGCCGGGGTTATTCTCTGCTCTGGATTTTACTTCAAATTTTAAAGGAGCCATTCACAGGACTGAAGCTATGCTGGGGGAATTAAAAGCTTTCTCTCCCCAGCTCCTCTCTTTCTTCCTACACACACACATTGCTACTAGCTCTATTTGGGAAAAGGGACCTTTAAAAGCAGCCACAAGTCGTGGCCACAAACAATTGGTTAGGACTACCAGCCACCTGTTGTTCCCAGCAAGGCCGATAGCAGCTTGCTGGGGGTGGCATTGCAGCTGGGGAAATGGTGCTGGAGGAAATGATATTGACCCATCTTCTCCATAGTGCCATTGCTCCAGTCCAGTTTGTTTCTCCCTTGCATAATGCCTTTTATGATATTGAACCTTGGCTTACCTGACAATGATCTGGTTTACCAGGGATTGTCTTCCATTCTTCCTTCCCCCCAGATACTCCTATGGATAACCCGGATACAGATACCCCAGGAGATTCTAAGGCAGGACCCATCTTTTCTCCTCCTTCCCGTGCAAGCCTTCTTTTACTTGCTCTGTACCTTTTTGCAGGCTTCAAGTTGACAACCTATGACAGCCCCTCCAAAGTGCCCATGCAGTGTTTTGGAGAACCTGCCATTGATTCATCTTCCCTTTTTGTATCCCTGTTGTACAGAAATATTTTCATAATTTTTTAAAAAGTGGGGCTTGACGGGTCTGAAATGGGGAGCTTCACTTGTACAATCCCTTGGGAAGTATCTGCTGAACAATCAGCACTCTGGAGGGCTGGCAAAAAAAGCCAGAGTGAGAGAAATGGGTTCGCTGCTGGCCAAGGGAACAATGGGCCAGCTACAGTAACTCCATGGTGCTGCTTGGGCATGAGTGGGGTGGCTGTTGCTGGCAGTGGCCTGGGTGAGGTTGGGTTCCTGTTGTTCTTGCTGAGCGGCTAACTAGCTGCTTCCCTGGTGAAGCTGGTGACCTGGGTTTGGGTGCTATGACAGCCGACTGTGACCCACAGTCTGAGTTGCCAGGCTGGCTTATAGCCGACAGACAAACTACCTTGGGAAAAGTGGGCTCAATTTGCATGACACAACAACCTATAGCTTGTTGCCCACAATGGGTTGTCATATTATGCAACCCATCATTTTAAGTAGTTACTATGTTATTAAGAACTTACAGACAGAGGGCTGCTAATGCTTCCAATCAAAAGGCATTGTGCAGCTATTCTTTTTCTGTTTAATTGGTTTTCTGTGGTAAGAAAAAAGGTAGAAGCAGCAGTGGAAAAGAGTGGAAAAGACATCAGCTGGGTACCCCACCATGAAATTCCATGAATGAAGCTGGGCAACAGCACCATAGAAAGCCTGGAAGCACATATTTGAATCTTCTAATGGCGCAATTAGGCATGCAATCAGCACACTGAACCTTAGGGCAGAATGTGCAGAGCAATGGTCACCTGCAGGACGGCGTGATTCTGGGCCTCTCTGGTCTGTTTCATCAGCTGACAATAGATTTCATTCTGTAGCTCACTGTGCGTCAGGCAGACCTGGAGCGCCGTCTGAGCTAGTGTCACATGATAATCAACAGATGGAGCTTCCACAGGGACGTTGATAAACAGCTGGCAAGACTGAAATGGGGAGATGGAGAATGCATTAGAAGGACATCCATGGAGAGAGAGGCAACTGTGCTTTTCTAGTTTCCCTTCCACCGCTGAAAAAGTAAATAAATTATACTGAGCAACACCTTTATTTATTTCCTATGCTTCTACCAGAAATGATACTGAAAGTAGTTTACCGAACAATTTAAAATAGACTAAAAGAATAAAACACAAGAAAAATGCAACAAATATAGAATAAAAGCAGCACCCTGTCCACAGATGCACTTGAAGACCAAAGACCTTCTTGAATAAAGTAGCCTTAACCTGCTGTGTAAGGGACAGGTGAGAGGGAATGAACCAGGCCTCCTTTGGGAGAGAGTTAAGCAGCCTGGGAGCAGCCACCAAAAGGCCCTCTCTTGTGTTGCCATCAAATGTGCTGCTGACGGTGGCAGTCTTGAAATATGGGTTTCACCAGGCAGGCTGATAAGGGAGAATTAGGGATTTCAGATAGCCTGGCCCTAAGCAGTATAGGAATTTATATGTCATAACCAGCCCTTTGAATTTGGTCTGGACATAAACTAGTAGCTGGTCATCTGAACCCATCCGTCACTGATGTAACATGGCGTGGCACGTTCTCTGTAACCAGTTCTAGTCAACACACTGGTCACAGCATTCTGGACTAGCCAAAGTTTTGAACCATTTCCAGAGGCAGCTCCACATACAGCGTTTTACAGTAGTCCAAATAGGATATAATCAAGGCATGTTTGACCATGACCAGATCAGCTAACTTTAGGAACAGGTGCAGTTTGGGCACCAACTCCAGCTGTGCAAATCCACCTTTGGTCACTGTTCAGAACAGGGCTGAGTACACTTCAACTGAAAGCTGAAGTCTTCAGGTGCAATCTAACATTATCCAGCACAGGTTAAATTCCTATTCTCCGATCTGCCCTTTGGCTATGCAATGGCACTTCTGCCTTGTCTAGATTAAGCTTCAATGTGTTTGACTTCATCCAGTTTATCATTTATTTATTATACTCCTGGGTTATAACATAAACAGAAGGAATGTAGCAGTAATAATAGGACTGTTTGAAACCCATGTGGGAATGGGTCAACTGTCTTCTCTATTCTCCCCATAGTCTTTATTTGTCCCCTTCCAAGTGCTTGAACTGCATATATTGAAAACCAACTATAGCCCCTTATTAAATACCTTGAAGAGTTTCAGGGCCTCTGTCTGCAGTGCTTTGGAGGGAAGAGTTGTTAGGGAGGTCTGCAGCCCATCCTTGCTGTGACACAGTATAGGGTGCTTCCACAAAGGAGAATCTGAAGGAGTGCACAAAAGAAAGCTGTGAAAAATCTCAGAAACCTAGTTACATGACAAGGGGCCTCATAAAGAAACATTACAACTCTTGCCAAAGAATCAGATATTGAAAGTACCACACTAATTCTCAGCACCTTTGGTCTTAAACTACCCTGCTTATTCTGGGAAACTACAAGAGACAGCCACTGTGAGACCGTCCCATTTCTGAATGCAGTTGCAAGATGGTCTGCTTGAATTTTTGGCCACGCTAAAAGCTATATAGCAATGGATAGCTAGCACTGTAGGCAGAAAATGAGGCTGGAATCTTTTTCTCAGACACATGAGGTTTCCACATGGAGGGAGGGAGGGAGGGAGGAAGATTCTGAAGAAAGAATATTTGTACAGTAGATCTTTAGACTGAAATTGCCATGCCTTACTTGTTCATCCTATAGTTCTTCCATAGTCTTCCTTTTCTCAGGTAAGTAGCACGATTTCCACAGGTATCAATAACTTTTGCACTATTTTTCCATTTTTTAAAGAGAAAGGTTTTAACATTGTTTTTGCCTTCATTAAGAGCTACCCAGAGAACCTTCAGGCTATGGGGTGGTATACAAGTGTAATAAATAAACAAACAAACATGGACAGTGATGTACCATGCAGGTAAATCTGTCACAGCACAGTGCATATTTATGAGCATTTTTGCAGTGGGTTCCCTTTTATAATCCTGTTAATCCCCCCTGCAAATAGCATGAGATGTTTATCTGACTTCTCACTTTCTAGACAGACAGATATGCAATGGAATACAGGTATAATGCACTAGTATTCTGGTATCATATTGCTTTGACACTAAACATGGGATTAGTCTATTTATACCTGCAAGTATTTCCTAAATTTAATACTTTATTTTGTAAATTCTTATGGGGTTCCATTCTGCCATGAATATCTTTGGAAAGCATGCAACTTGTGATTTATGAGGGTGGCTTTGGCTTCCCCAGTGTCTCTCTATATCATAGGTATATTTCTTGACTTGTACTAAATTTTCATCTTTACTACTCAGATTAGACTTCTCACCCTTGTAAATGTTAGAATCTTCATGTTTAGATCCACAAACTTATTGTGTTGGGTTCTTGAAATATTAAAACAGATTGGATGCCTCCTACATTGCAGCAGTAGAAGAGGAGTGGTGCAGAGTTTCACATAAATTTGAGCAATTTTTGCATGCATAATTAGCTCTATGGGGAAACCCAGATTTAACGATTGACAAGAAAACACTTGAATGGATAGGCTGATTTTTACTTTGGATCGGTTTCTCCTTAGTCCCCAAGTGTTCTCAGTTCCTTAGGAATGGTTGGCCAGGTATCCCACTGGGCTTTTGTGTTGGGCTTCTTTGAAACCCATCTGTGTCCTTAGTGCAACACAGCTAGATGCCAGATTGTACTCGAGACACTGAATATAATCTAAGTGTTGAAAAGTGGCCTCTTGTGAGTCTACCCTCCTTTCACCCACCATATCTGAGGCCAAGATTTCCTAGTACCTGTATCAGGTCTTTCTGCCTTTGTGGAAAACTAGACCTGAGAACTTGTACCAGAGAAACGTTTGACAATCTCTCCATGTGACTACCTCAAGGCCCCTTTCTTCCTGAGAGACTTCCTGGTTCCAATTTCCTTTTCCAGTGAACAACTATACTGACTCACGATCTACATTTATATTCATTATCAGCGAATAAACATGATACACAGAGTCTTAAACAGGAATGGAATAATGAATTGGAGTATTTTATTTTGCTCAGTCAGTGGTTTGCTTCATTGGCATCTATGTCAGCAGGATAATGGATGCAAGGTTATGTTTACTTAGGCAAAAACTAATGTTTCAGATATGTAACAATTTCATTTTAATACAGGTTTACCTAAACTGACTGATTTTTGGAAGGGTAATATAGCTCATGCTTTTCTCATTCATATGTTTTGACAATACCTACTGGCTGCTTCTTTTGTGGGGAAGTACAGTGGTACCTTGGCTCACGAACTTAATCCATTCCAGGATTCTGGTTGTGACCCAAATTGGTCGTGAGCCAAGTTAAATTTCCCCATAAGGTTCAATGTAAATAAGGTTAATCCATTCTGTAACTATATTTTTTAATCAGAAAAATGTGAAGAAGCAAAGTGACAAAGTACAACAAAGATCATGGCCATCTCCCCCACCCCACCTCAAGCATGAGCCCGGCCATCTCCCCCCACCCCCAGCATGACTGCGATTGTGCCTGTCATCCCTGCACATGTCCGTCATCCCAGCACGCTGGGGGTGGAAAGATGGGCTCGAATGCAGATGCGCTGGGGGGGAGAGATGGGTGCGAACGTGGGAGTGCTCGGGGGGGGGAGTGGGTGCGATTGTGCTTGGGGGGGCGAGATGGCCAAGATCGCAGTTGCGCTTATGCAGGAAAGACGGTCACAATCACGGGTGTGCTCCTGCAGGAAAGACGGGTGCAATCTTGGCCATCTCCTCCCTGCCCCCAGCACGATTGTGGCCACCTCCCCACTCGGGTTGCCATCCAATGCAGAGTTCGCGACCTGAGTCAATTTTTTAATGAAATTTTTGTTCACAACCCGATTTGGTCATGAACTGAGGCATTTGTGAGCCAAGGTACCACCATAATAATCAAAATAATGTTTGTGACAGAAAATTCTTTAGTATTTATGAACACTCATATTCTTCTTAACAATCTGTCTCTCGGAATTTAATGAAAGAGCACCATCAATGGATTCTCTGTGCTCTTCTGACAAGTAAAAGACATATTACAACAGTGGGATGACAAACAGCCACTTTTGAAAATATAGTGCAAAGAAGACTTGATGGAACTTTTGATTTTTGAAAGACAGGTATTTATGAATTAATAAGTACATGGATATCTGGGCTGCCTTTGCTGGAGTCTGCACATAACTGTGCCAAAAAATAGTAGTACATTTTACTATGCATAAAATATACAGGAGTACATGGCATATAGGTATTCATTGCAATAGATGCACACAGAGTCCATGTAAGAAAACTGTAACACTTTAGGCACCATAGCACTAAAGCAGGGAAAACCACTGTTGGGGCAAATTCTAGTAATCAACAGCTTCAGGCAGTAGCTCTGCTACAGATGCCATGCAGAAGCCTCTCAGAGGCCAGATCGTTGGTAAGAAACAGATGAGTTTTGTGAATTGAACTGTGGAATACACTAGAAGGGTCAGCAACAGAGTGATTTATTCTGCACTACAATAAAGATCTAGAGGAACAAAGTCTTTGATAAAGAAAGAGATAATACCATTTCACTGAAAAATCTTATTGCACAAATGAAGAAAACAAACATATAATATGGACACTGATTGCTAATTAACACTTTATTGTTAATTAGTTTAAATGACTAATTAACTCCTACAAACTAAACTTAACAAGTTTTCCTGAAAAATACATTTTCTGAAGCATGTATTATTCAGAAACACAACCAGTTTGTCCTGAGGTATCCTAGATAAAATCATTGGCCTAAATTTGGAGCAAGTTAGTTACACTTAAGTCCTTTTAAAATGAAAAGGAAAACTTAGCTGCAACTTATGTATATCCTGTTAGTTTGCAATGGATCTTTAGAGTGACTAATTTTCTTTGGATTTGGGATACTGAGTCATAATGAGTTGCCTGTAGTACAATGAATGCTGGTTGTTTTGATATAGTCATCCCATGCCAGATTTTTCTGTACCGATCATCAGCTGACTGTAACTTTTCCCAGTGCTCAGCAATCAAATCCTTACTCTTACCAAAGAGCTCGTCTTGCTAACTTTCCCAAGAACATTCAATAAGAGCATCTGTGGAATCTTAGAGATCTGGTTATTACCTGAATTGTTTCCAGCACATTATCTCAACACATAAATTCCAATGAGATATCTACACCATAGGCTGGAATGGTCTCACAACTAATAGTTCAAAGGCAGTCTTTGCTTTAGCAGGGATGAGCATTGCTTTGCATAATGAGGTCAATTGGCTAATCTAATCCCATAAATAAATTCTTGCCACTGCCTTAGGAGAAAACATTTTGCCCTCTACTTACTTGGGTCTCCTTCTACATCCAGCAGCTTCCCGATGAGTTGCTCACATACACTACCGACATTTGTGCCCCCACCGCTGCCACCTGCTGCAACTGTCAGGTGGTACAACCAGGCATCCTTGGAACAAAAGGGTAAAGAAGATTAAGTGATGCTAGGTAATCTGAATAATATTAAATATTAAACATGAGGTATAAATCCAGATGTAACATTTTAACTGGGGTCAGTGATAAACATATGGGACTAATTTCTGCAGTTTCTGGCTTTTGCTATTTGTTTTTTTACTCTTAAGCAGTCACAGGGCCCTTTCAACACAATATTTATTTTGTGTAAGGAAGATGCGCTTGTTCATACTTTATTGACGGCCTGCATTTCTTCCTTCAAAGTTGTGAGGAGATTCTACGAGGTAATTAGGAATGTAGGAAGCAGGCTTCCATATGCAAAGTCAGAACATTGGTCCCTGTTTTATGTATGTATTACATTTCTAGATTGCCCAATAGTCAAACCTCTTTGGACGGTTCACAGTAATTAAAGCCACAAAATGCAGCATGATTAACACATAATAGAAAAGTTTAAAACTATGCTAGAAAATTAAGATGTAACACACAGTAAGGGTGTAACCTTGTGGCCTCCCAACACTGATTAAAAGGCTGTAGGGTTCTTTGATGTCCCAGCTCTGAGATCCTGTGATTTCAAAGCTGGGATTCTGAAGGCTGAGGCCCGGCCCGGCCCACATAGCCAGTACTGAAAGAACCACAATGGCTGCCCCAGTCTTGAGGTCACAGCTGAGCCCCAGAAGGGGCAAACAAGGACATGCTAGGGATGAAAAGGGAGGAGCCTGAGCCTGTGACCTTATGCCCATTCCAACTAGTGTCCAGGCTCCTTCCCTCTCCCTCCCTGGCAATGAACCTAGACAGCCAAAAATGGCTTCTAGATAAAATACTAGAGACAAGGCATGGTGGTGACAGCGATCACAGGTGTCTAGGGATGTGTGAGGAATCTGATTTGGGGGTGGGAGTCCACTGGGTTTCCTAGGCTTGTCTCCCTGGACCCCACTCCCCTCTGTTCTGACTCTGAGTCTGAGTGTCTGGCAAGCACGCCTCGTGTTCATGGGGTGCTCATCAGGAATGGGGCTCTGTGGAACCACTGTGCAAACAGCGTCCCTCTTCTATGCCACACAGAGCAGCCTTTCTTTGTGCTGCTCCACCTGACACAGAACATGGTTGCCTGTGGTGGAAGCTTTGTTCTGTTCACAGACTTCCTGTTGGCTCAACTTGCTCTCTAAGATTGGGCCAAGCACAAGAGGAAGTCCATGCATGCTAGAGGGACAGAGTCTGCTGTGTTTTGTCCCAGCCTTACTGATGGGACAGTAAGGCTGGAACAAAAGCCTGACAGCCTCATTCAAGAGATAGAAAGCATGTAAACCTTTTAGTTTGTGGGCTCACATGCATGGAGGATGTGGGATGCAACATTATGCTCAAACGGATTTAAAACAACAGAAACAGAGGGTAAAATGAATGGCAATGGTTCTACAGGGTTTCAGGCTGAATTCCTTCCTAGCACTCAGTGGAGATACCGGGGATTGATCTTGGACCTTCTACATGCCAAGCAAGTGCTCCACTACCGAGTGTTGTCATCTCCCAGCTGATGGGTGGTGCTGTCAGGCCATCTAGCCCGAAGCACCTCTACTGCTAACACTCACAGTCATAATACATAAACAGAAGAAGGGGAACAAACCCCATTCCCATATTCTCCTATGCCAGCAAAGTGGCCAGTCTATAGCTAGATGGCAGCAACTGTGGTAGCTGGCAGTAGCAAAGGCCTGCCATTCTGTTCATTATCAGTAAAGCTGCTTATGTTAATAGGCATTCGCATGTGATTTTTAGGGTACTTATACCAGCAATATGCATGATCAGGAGCTGCAAACAGATAGCAGAGTGGGGTGATGGAAAAAGAGAGAGAAAATCTAACAAAGTTGCAAGCTCAAGCTCCAAATTACACTAAATGAGTAGGTAGCATTGTTGCTTTTTAATTGCAGTCCCCTCGCCCCTCTGTATTGGGATGGCAGTGCATGGAGACATTTAACCCTTCTCTCCCTCACATGGGAAGATTTAACCCTTCCCTCCCCAATTGTAAAGAAATGCCCTCTCATGTTGCAGCTAGCCTGAAGAAAAAAGCTCCCCTCGGTACATGTAATTAAATTTTTGAAATGCCAAATGTAGTTGCTAGCTATATTAGCACAACATCTATTTGTGAGTACCCAGTTACTTCTCTGCATTAGCTACCACGAGTAGTCCGCCCTACACCCCAGGTTCTTTTTGGGTCATCCTTAATACCTTCTCCTGTTTAGTACCAATGAGTAAGTAGGTAGGACTCTGCTCTGGAGGGTGAAGGACCAGGGTGCAATGTGAAGACAGAAGGCCCCCACCATTAGTCTCATAATCTTCATCAGAATCACAGGAGCGATCCACTTCTTCCACTTTTGCTTCAGGCATGTGCAGATGACCCAGGGGGCACTGAGAAATGAACAAAAGAAGAGTGATGGTGGATTAGGCCAAGGGCCTCTGAGTCCACCATTCTGTTCACACAAGTCAAAGCTGCCCAAGTAAAACTCACATGCAGGACATGAGTGCAATGGCACCCTCTTGCTCATGGACCCCAGCAACTGATGTGCATAGGCTTTACTGCCTCTCCTACCAGAGGTAGTATATAGCTGTCAGGAATAGTAGGCATCTTTTTCAACTCCACAGTAGCATTTTTGAGATGCAGTGACAAGAATGGTCTTTTTAAGTGGGGCTGCACCACAGATTTTTATATTGGCAGTATGGAACTGGCAGGTTGGTGTTTACTTCTTTCCTAACATGCTTATTAAGCCTAATATGGCGTTTACCTTTCTCACAGCAACCATACACTGGGTCAATATTTTCACTGACCTGTCCATCACAAATCCAAGATCTCTTTCTTGGTCTGTCATCACTAGCTCAGATCCAATCACCTTTTACTTGGTGTTGGAAATTTGGCTGTAACATGCATTTCTTTACATTTGCTTACACTGAATAGGCCATTTTGATGCCCATTCTTCTAATTTGGAAAGATCCTTTTGGAAATCCTCACAATCCATTTTTGTTTTAACCTCCCTAAAATTTTTGGTGTAATCTTTAAACTCAGTCACTTCACTGTTCACTCTTAATTCCAGTTTATTTATGAATAAGTTTTAAAATATTGGTCTATATAGACTTTCCCTGGGAGATTCCCACTGCTTACATTCCTCCACTGGGAGAGTTTAACATTCATTCATACTCTGTTTCCTGTTTTCTGACCCTTTACTGATCCATAAGAGGACCTCCCTTCTTATTCCATGGCTGTGTCAGGAGCTACATTGCCCTCTCTCCTCTCTTTCAAAACAAATATATGTTCATGAATTTTATTCTGGTGAAAGGAAAAATAGCACTTTGGAGTGTAACGTGCTTTAGGAGCAACCGATAAATACGAGATGATTTTATTACTTAAACGCAGATTGTAGAATAATCTTGATATGGATTCTTTATGATGGAATGGGTTCCATTTATGTTATGTGACAGATTTGTCCTTGACTAGGGATGTTATGATACAGGATTTTTGTATTTAGTGTGTTTATAAATCAGAAAATAATAATTTGCATGCCATCTCCCAAGTATGCCTAGGAATTTCTAAGTTTAGAGTATTACGGTATTTACAGTAATAAACAGATTTTTTTTTTTTTAAGAAATAGAGGGATTTGAGTTTAGGTGTGCCTTTTAATATTTGACTTCAAAATCTCAAGCAGTTTTTGTATTTCATGATATAAGAGTGTCAAAATCTCAAGCAGTTTTTGTATTTCATGATATAAGAGTGTTGACATAAAACTACAAAGTGACTACAGGAAAATTACAAGCATTTTAGATCTAGGGGAACTGCCTTCATTTTAAAGATTAAAAACATCTTGCACAATGACACTTTTGATCTGCAAGCAAAACAGAACAGAGAAGTCAATGAGGACCACTGCCATTATCCTTCTGAAAACAAATATTGTATCCTGTGAGAATTGATGCTGGTTTCTTTGAGAACAGGTGGAATGCCCTGGAGTTTGATTTCCTCTCTCATCTTTAAATGATTACTCCTGAACTGCTGACATATGCTTTCCTTTTGCCAAACAAAAAATATTAAATGATTAGTCATTAACATAGAAACATAGAAGCAGAGCGAGTCAGAAGGGGCCTCCCGGGCTATCTAGTCTGACCTCCGGCACCAGCCGGCTCCGCTCACGACATGCCCACCATGTGCATGTCCAGCCTATCTTTGAACACCCGCACCGATGGGGCCTCAACGACCTCTGGTGAAAGCCCATTCCACACCCTCGGGGTCCTAACTGTCAGGAAGTGCTTCCTGGCATCTAAATGGAACCCTGGCTCCCTGAGCTTTGCTCGGTTGGAGCGAATCCTGCCTTCCTCTGCAGGGGAGAACAGGTCTCTACCCATCTCCATGTGACATCCCCTCACATACCTGTATGTCGCTAACATATCCCCTCTGAGTCTCCTCTTCTCCAGGCTGAAGAGACCCAGTTCCCTCAGTCTCACCTCATACCCCATCCCCTGAAAACCAGCCACCAACCTTGTGGCCCTACGCTGCACTGACTCTAACCTGGCTATATCCTTTCTGTAATGAGGGGCCCAAAACTGAGCACAATACTCCAGTTGCGGGCGCACCAGAGTTGTATATAGTGGTAGTAATACTTCTCTTGATCTAGAAGCCACACTTCTGGCTATGCAACCAAGGGTGGCGTTTGCCCTCTTGACCACTGCATCACACTGCTGACTCATGTTTAGCCTGTAGTCAACCAGTACCCTGAGGTCCCTTTCACAAGTGCTGCTCTCCAGCCACTTGTCACCTAACCTGTACTTATGACAGCTATTCCTATGCCCCAAGTGCAAGACCTTGCACTTATCCACATTGAACGCCATCCTGTTGTCTCCTGCCCACTTCCATAGTCTGCCCAGATCCTTTGGGATCTGGAGTACCTGCTCCTCTGTTGTAGCCACTGCTCCAGTTTTAGTGTCGTCTGCAAATTTGATCAGCAGACTGTTCACCCCTTCTTCCATGTCGTTAATGAAAAGATTAAACAGGATCGGCCCTAGGACAGAGCCCTGGGGGACCCCGCTTGTCACTGGCCACCATCCTGATGATTCCCCACTAATGGTTACCTTCTGCTTTCGGTCAGTCAACTATGCCCTAATCCACCTGATCCATGCCCTAATCATTATTTTTTCCAAAATTCCCACTCTACATGCCTCTATAAAACTAAAGATTCCTGTAATTGCTTACATCAGTCCTCCTTGGTACTTTCATGTTTTGGCCATAGTGTTAACACAGTTTGAGTGTGTGAACAAATGGTAATAAAAATGAAGAGGCTCTGGACTGGATGAGAAGATATTTGCTAGGGATGATAGGAAGATGATAAAAACACTGAACATAATATAGAAAAATACCTTGTCTTCATGATTTCGATAGTAGTAAAAAGTTTTTCCAATCAGTGCACACCAAACCAGCTTGGAGTGTCCATGTTTCACCTGAAGAAAAAGCACAGGAATGGAAATATTCTTTCACCTTATTTGCATAGATCCATTGATTCTACTGCAAATGCAGCCAAAGGACAAGTCATGGTGCATCTGGTACATCTGAAGTACCTTGGTGAGCCAGCCCTTCACAGTGGGTTTGGCGTCCCTGAGAGGGATTGCAGTAGGACTGGTCACTTGCACCTTCAGGATGCTTTGAAGGACACGAATCCACTCCTCCAGGATATTGGGGGAGTCAGCTGTCAGGAAGTAGGTTCGTTTTTCAGTGATGAGCTGAAGATGAAGAAAATATCACAGGCTACTAACACGAGGTATTAAGATTTTTTTTCTCTTTTTTTAAGCAATACATATGTTAACTTCTAACTTTCAGGCCACATTCAGTAGAATTATCTGGGGTACAATCCTATGCATATTTAGACAGCAAAAGTCCTACAATGTCAAGCATTCCCCAGTCAGCATGGAACTGTTGCATTTTTCTGTCTAATTATGCATAGGATTGTACCCTAAAAGGCTTTAAGGGATAATACTTTGAGAACAAAGCAAAAAGCAATTACTTTTATGGCACTTTGGTAGGCACACTTACAACATGTGAGGAAACTGGTCATGTTTTATACACACACGAATAAAAATCAGTTGAAGGTGGTAAACAAGTTGCCACAGAAAAATGGATCAGAATTGTGGTTTACTCACAAGATGAATTGTCCATGGATTGTTTATTATGATACAGAGATCAGAATTTAGCTGTTCTTTAAGGCATTTCGAGTTTATAAAACCAGATTATAGATAATATGTGGATATATGCCCTGCAGGATAATTCCTAGTACTTTATGGCTTTGAATCAATTAGAAAAGCCTCAATATTCTTCTTCACAGAAATTGTCCACTATGCTTATATTTGACATGATTAGCAACTGCATTTTTACTGGAATAGAAGCTTTAATCTAGGGGTGAAGAAACTGGGGCCTTCCAGATACTATTATAATGCTCATTATCACATTATACTAGCTGGGCTTGATGGAAGTTGGAGTCCAACAGCATTTGGAGGAAAAGTACCTGTTGAATCCTTATTGCAAAAATGGAAAGATTGGATTTTTTTTTTTTTTTTGTACAGAAGTGCAAAAAGACCCAAATATTTCAGAAGGGTAGGCTTTGACAAACAGGAAACATTTTAGGTTTTTCAAGTACTAAAAGCTAAGTTTACATTCAGAATTAGGCTTCAAATCTTCTAATTTTATACAAAGTTAATCTAACTTTAAACAAAGTTAATCTCTTCTGAGCAGTAAAACCATGGGAAGTCCAAGATGATCAATTCAGGTCTCTCAGGATGTCTGAGAAAGTCATTAAAAAAAATCTCTTCCTGGCAATTCCTATTTTTATCATTTGGAGTTTAGAAATAATAAGCAAAGGTCAAGAAGCAATGCTTACCTGGAATGTCTGAGATCCTTCACCTCTTAAGATCTGGCAAGAAGAATTCAATTCAACCTGCCCCTGGGGCTTGCAGATGATATCACTCTATAAAGACCAATCAGAAAGGTCAAATGGAACATCAAGTGCGGACACATTTTCTAAAGATACAATGATGTTGTTATTTTAACACGGGACAAGCACCCAAGGCACTAATGAATAAATTGAGGTTGAAAGCAAACATCGATAAGATCAATGATCCACTATATTTTTAATCTGTGGTGCCCATTTTTAATACTAAAGTACAGAAGTGGATTTTTTTGGAGGGCTATTTCTGGAATGTGTCTGCAATACAAAATGAAAATATTCAAGATGCTCTAAAAATAGAAGTAACTTTTGTTTATTAAATTTAGGGACACAAATCCTGGCATACAACTCACCGGGGATTTATAATACATGATCTGTCCATTTCTCAAAACAAACCATCGTCTCTTCCATGCTTTTATCTGGTTACCCATTTTCAGCAAATAGCCAGATTTCTCTAGTGGTTGCTAAATGAGAGAGAGAGAAAAATATTTCCCTGTGAGATGAACAAGGTAGAACTGAAAAGGAAATGCACCAAGACCAAGGAATACCACTGAAACCTGATTGTATTCCATGGTTTTCCCCTATTGTAAAAAGAAAGGAAGGCTGAGAGATGGGAACCCAAGTATTTCGCCACAATCAACCCCAGAGCTGGACTTTCAACCCCTAAATTAGTCCATATTGCCTCCTCTATATTCCAAAGTTCCCTCTGAACCTGAGTGGGAGAAGGCACCTAAAGGACTGAATGTGCAGGAATATGATAAGGAATGTAATATTACCTAAAGGATCACCTGCTCCCACATGCCTGCCATAGGTCTTTATCTGGATGATTCTACTGTCAGAAGTTAAATGAGCGGCAACAAAGGAAAGGTTTTATTTGCAGAATGCCCTGAATTTGGAAAGCTGTCTCTAGAATTGCTCTCCCGAGAGCCAGCCTGATGAGTTTTAGGCACCAAGGTAAGCCTTTTTTGACTTTCCCAGGTTTTTAAATTTTAGCAAAATAGTTCCTGTGGTGGCTTCTTTTACAAGGTTGGGACTCTGACCTCATAGCAAGAGAAAGGGGAGTATCAAAGGCAGCAGAGCAGGCAGGGAGTGAGTGGTTGAGGATCTGTAGGATCTCGAGCCTTTCCAGCCCCCAACCACATTGCTGGCAAAGAGGAGGAGTTACAGAGGCTTTGTAGCCCATCTAATAACACTGCCCTTTTTGGAGGATGCAGAAGCAAAACTTGCCTCCACTTGCTGGAAAGAGCCCAAATCAGCTTATAACAAGGCAGAGTCCCCAAGATCAGGATGCTGCATCAACAGGCCTCTTCACCTATAGCATTACTCAATAAATACTTTAGCGGATCATGAAAAATGACAAGACAAGGCACTCTATTTTAAGACAATGTGGAAGTTGCTGTCTGCTGACAGGCACTGGGTAGACTTTTCTCCATGTTTCATAGTTACATCTAGCTCAAAGTGGCAGGGAGAGGCACAGCTTACAGAATAAACCCCCCCATCAGTGGAATAGGATGATGTCCGCTGCAATTTGTGCTCTGGTTCAGAATAGTCTTCATCCAAGGAGTAGGCATCAGGAGGGATGGCATAGTCACTCTCTGAGCTTAGTGAAGACATAGAGATGCCTGCTGGAAATAAAAAGAACAGTGAAAAACCTGCATGAGATTCCTCTGTAGTCCATAATAGGTATATTGGCCCATTTTCAGAGCTATTCTATACACATCTGCTTAGAAGTAAGCCCTGCTGAGTTCAGTGAGGCTTGCTCTCAATTAAGAGGGTACAGGATTGCAGTGCTAAGGGCTGCTTAACACATGCAGTTGCATATTTAATGGTTCACTTGGAAGCCAGCACTTAATAATTTCTAGCTAAATATAATCCTTCATACCATGAAATGTTGTGTAACATGTGATCCAAGGTGAGCCCTTGATTTTGGAAGCTATGTCTGGAGGCACAGTTTAAAAATTCAGCATGAAATATATAAATACATTGAAACATATCACCCTCCTTGATTTTGGACAGTTGTTTTGCACAAAAAAAGTCTTCATGTTGTTGTCATTAATGAACATGTATAAAAAGTCAGCACAGAGTTATCATTTAAACACCAGCCTCAGACTGGTACTTAACTTTGGCTATAATCCTCAGAATGCTTACTTGGGGGTAAATTCCACTCAATTCATTGAGATTTACTTCTGAGCTTAAGGTTGTGCTGATGGAAGACTTTGTCATACCAGTACTGCCCTGCTCTGCTCAATTCCCGGATGACTTACGGATTTCACCATCCTGCAGACTTTTTAAAATACCTTATCACAGCAGTGCAGAAAGCTACTTCCTTCAACTTACCTCGTTTTACTGCGCGGGGACTGCCTGGCATGCTTGACCTTTTGGGTTCAGATCCTGCATTGGAGGTTCTGAAGCTAGCATGGGAGCTGCAGTCATCATCAGAGCCTGAAGACTCATCTAAGAAAGGAACGTTGCTGATTTGGGTGGCTTTCTGGAAAACAAGCCTCCAAAGTCAGGATGGAAATTAAAACAGGCATCCCAGTTCAAACAAATGCCTCAATTCACGAGGAACAAGCAGAAGGTGAGAACAACTTTATTCTCCAGACATTTTAATAATTGATTTTATACTGTACAATTTTAAAGGTAGTTTTTACAATGTTCAACAGTTTTAAGTTATACTATTTTGTCCTATTCGCATTTTAACTCTCAGCTGCATATTTTTACTGTATGTTATCACATGTTTCCATATTTTTATATTGTTGCTATTTGATTACTATATTGTGTTTTTATTCTGTTTTTATTGTTACAAACTGTTTTGCTGTAATTCGTTTAGAGAGTCCTATGGGACTAGTAATGTGGAATATAAGTTAAATAAATAAGAAATACTAAGAAAAACTGATTACATTATTCATTATTCTACCTCTAGCACAGAACAAGAAAGAAAGAAAGAAAGAAAGAAAGAAAGAAAGAAAGAAAGAAAGAAAGAAAGAAAGAAAGAAAGAAAGAAAGAAAGAAAGAAAGAGGAAAACTCCTATAGCTCTTCATCTATTTTTCTGTGCCTTCCAACTAATTTGCCTTCTGTTTCAGGCAGTGCATGAATGGAACCACTTGCCCTGGCATGGCATGCATTTGGCTAAACAGCTGTGATAAACTTCAGACTCCACCCTGTGGCTGCTTATATATGCCTCAGGCATTTCTGAGATGCTGGCATGCATTCTAGCTGTGAAGTTCAAACTCAGAATAGCTTGTGGGTACTAATTGCACAGGTATAATTAAAAAAGAAGGGTCATTGAACTGTATTTTCCTATTTTACCTAGCACCCTACAGGTTTTGAGAGGAAAACAGTCTCACAACTTAAATAGAATTTTTAAAAAGATATTGTCCATAAAATATAACAAAGTATTTAACTTGAAATAAATAGCCAACTATAACTGAATGTAAACATATTGATGAAAAACTCCTTTACTGACTTGAACCTGCAAGTCACTTTTCATTAAAAGCTCCTCCCACCCCACCCAACTAATTAATGAGCATTGGGTTCCTACAGCATGACATCGGCCTGACTGGATACAGTTGCTTCCTTATTTTTCTTTCTTTAATCTTAACATATTTTATAGCTCAATTGCGAGCACATTTCCCTTTGTTTCTGGTCTTTTGCCAGAACTTACAGTTTCAAGGACATTAGAGCCCTCAAGCCAAGTCAGTGCATCCTGCATCTTTTCTCATGGACTCATCCACCCTTTCCAATTTTCTCCAAACACAGGATAAGTGGAATAGTTTCTTACCCCTTTTAGCACGGAGTAGACAGGCACTGTGACATTTCGGTAAATATGGCAGGTGAATGACCCAGGGTGTAAACAACTTTGTGCATTTGAAGCTGAGTTTTTTAATGTATTCAAACGTGGAAAGAACAAGAAACACCAATTAAAAGGCTGCATATAATTTCACAGACACGTTACAATTAGCTAGATGAGACTTTGAGAAATGAAACTTTCATGCAGCAACAGGGAATTTGACAAAAATCGACAAATGACCATGAAGCCATGAGCTGTCAGAAAAAATTTAATGGAGCCCATTTCTCACCCTGATGAAAGGCTATGAGAAAAAAAAACAGTTCTTGGGACTCTGGATCCAAACAATACACACTGCACTACAACTGCAAAAGGAAGCATGCAGAAGCAGAGGGCAGAATAGAGGTTTGTATGTGGGTAGCATCTCCCAGACTTGGTCTCCAGTTACCAGGCCGTCAAAACGTTGTCCCTCCTCTCATCCCCTGGCAATTTCAACATGAATTTCCCTGGGTTGAAAGTAGTTCCTGCACCCTTATCCCATGCCACTGGGAAAGACCACCCACCAACTCAGGGCTTTGGAAGCATGCTAAGCCTGGGCACTAAGCAACAGGAATATTTTGGCTGATGGTGACAAGTACAGCTCATGATCCCAAAGCAAATCCAATCCAAGGAGACACTATGAGGAGGCTGTCCCCCCATCTTGAGAATTGCTGAGGCTTTGTTTTCTTATCTGTTGAGTGAGGAATTTGTGAGCAAGGGAGAGCGAAAATGAACTTCCCCTCCTCTCTGCCTGATCTCTCCTAACAGGAATTTGTCATGGGTCTCTGCTTCTTCCAAATATGTAACCATGTTTATACTCTAAGAGCTCTTCCATTGATTTTATATTTTCTGATCTATAAAATTCACTTATTTTAATTTTTGATTGCAGTAATCTAGGAGCAGGCATCCTTTGGGGCTGTGAGCATGTTTGAAAATATAAGATTCTTTTTCTGGCCATCACCACAAAATGGATGATTTGGGAAATGTGGCAATGGACAAGAAACTGCCCAAAAGAATAAGTACAAGGCTAGGGCAGGATCTGAGTTCTTACACACTTAAATAACTCATTTGAACCATGATTTTCATGATGAACAGAAATCTATTTTACAATCATCCCAGCAACTGATAAGAAAATGTGTAGCTGTTTAAGTAGTAGAATTATTTGATGGGCATCAAAAAGGTGCCTGGGGGCACATGGGTGATCACAGATGTCACATTTCCTACCCCAGCAGTAGACACTGACTCATCTATTAATTGGTTCCTGCTGAAAAGAACTACCAATCCATTGGGGATTCCAATTAAGTAGCACCTATCACAGCCATGGGGAGCCTAAGGCTGTGGGACTACAATTCCTATCATTGCTCATGCTGGCTAGGCTAATGGGAGTTGGAGTCTGACAGCACCACAGGCTCCCTGCCCTTGATATACAGAGCAGAGGAGTGGATCTCTTTGAATATTCCACTTTAGAATGGTTAAAAGATACAGTACTAAATACACTAGGTAGTAGGGCCCTCTGAGAAATATTTTTAGGATTGCCCTGCACACATTTTGGCATGCTCCTTTATACAAAAGTTTCATCCACATAGAAAGCGAAATGTCATGCAGAAAGTTTCTAAGCTAGCTTTATCCCTGTCATGCTAGGTTACTTTTTGGGGGTGCATTTTGAAGAGTATTCAATAATTTGGGTCCTCACCACCAAATGGAAGGGATTTAGTTCAGACACAGACTTAGCATCTCAGTGATAAAGAGGCCATTGTCAGTATTCCACTGATCTTTTTTGCACTCATCAGTAGTGTACCTATCGATAAACATGCATCATGTTGATTATGATGAGCCGGGGGTTAGACTGGATGGCCCGGGAGGCCCCTTCTGGCTTGCCCTGTTCTATCATTGTCAGATTCTATCATTGTCAGAAGATGAGTCTTCCCTCTATTCTGCTATTCACTCTGGAGAAGAAGCAATACCCACATCCACATTTCAGGGAAGGGACTTACTTCAGCTTCTCACACCCTCTGCAAAATAGACATGCAGCCAGAGAAAGCCCATCTCTCTCTTTACAGGTCTAGTTTTTGGAAAAGACAACAGCTCACCACTGATGCAGCTACCTTTGGTGCAGCACTGACCAATGAAACATGTGGCCACATTAACTTCTTTCCATAACTAAAGTTCCTTTCTATCAACAAATATGGTAAAACAGTAGTACAAACTTCTCAAGCCTGATGCTGGCTGCAGGAAGCTGGGAGTTGTAGTCCAACACAACTGGAGAACATCAGAACAGGGAAAGCCACAGTAGCACATTTACAAGCAATAGGGTGTTTATATAACCAAACTGTTTTATTTATTTGATTTATATCCTATCTTTTTTTTAAGAACTCAAAGCAGTTCACATCATCCTCTTGTTCTCTCAGTCTTATCTTCACAATAACAAACCTGTGAGGTAAATTCAGCTGAGAGTCTGTGACCGGCACAAAGTCACCCAGTTGTGTCCATGGTCGAGTGGCAACTAGAACTCAAGTCTTCTGCGTCCCAGATCCACACTCTTAACCACTACACCACACTGGCTCATCAAACGGTGGTATCCACTGAACATTAATATATCTGATTGCACATTTGGGCTGATTCAAGCTAATACTTACTCTGGTTGGAAGAGTCACTCTCAGAAGCCACTTCTGAAAGTCTCATGCCAGATTTGGCAACTGCATAGATCCGACTCTCCTACAGCAAGACAAAAGGATGAATGGAGAAAGGCAAACTAAAAGTATGGTTTCCACTACCTTCTGGTAACTCAGGTTGTGCTGTCCCTTCTTCAGGCCCAATCATCTTACTCTTGAGCTAGAACCAGATATCCTGAGCAATATAAATATATAATTTAATTTGATTTGATTTAAAATTTTTCTGTACCATCCCATAGTTAAAAGTCTCAGGATGGTTTACAGCAAATTAGCCTAAAAAATAAAAATAAGAATAACAATTGCCCAGCATCCAATTTTAAAATAGAAACCGAGCACTAAAACAAGTTAACAATTAAAATACTGGGAGAATAAAAAGGATAGAAGTGTTGGCGCCAGGAGAACCTCTCTGGGGAGCGTGTTCCACAATCAGGGCGCCACTGCAGAGAAGGCCCTCCTCTGGGTAGTCACCCTCTTGATCTCTTTCAAGGACGGCTCAGGAGGAGGGCCTCTGACTCAGACAAATATCTAACCTATGCTGCACAGAAAGGAAGATAATAAGCTCTGCCTACATTTTAAATGTAAAGATATTGCTCCCAGAGATGGTAGAAATATGCACTGGGGACTCTGGCAGGCGAAAATGTTTATGGGAAGGGATGGGTTGCAACACCATTTACTTCTCCTCTGTAAATCACATCTTTCCACTTTTTGTAGCAGAGAAACAGAGCTCCTATTTCTAAAACTTGACTTGGCCATGAACCATCTAGTTCTAACCTCTGATGTATTCCCTGAAGTGATTCTCAAATACTCAAGGCTCAAAGAGCCTTTATTGCCTAACTAAACAGAGGCATCACTGTTAGTAAGGACATTCTGTGCCTTTCAAATGAATGGGGACAACAACCGGGAACATATGACTCCGTTCCTAATAAACTATATTACTAGCCTCTAGCTTTTGCCTTTATCTTTATTTTAGCATGGGCATGTTGGATGTTATCAACTGTATCTATCAGTTATCCAGCAGGTTTTGACTTTCATATTTTCAGAGATAAGAATCTGTCACATCCCTGAGACTACAAGCAGCCTGGGAAAATATTTTCATGGTTAAGCTACACACACACACTCACGCCACTCTTCAAGATTCCCAGCACTTTTCCTCCTTTATGCCACCACTTTATGAATCTCAACCTTTCTACCATTGTCTTATTTTGCTATTTGAATCCAACCAGGCTGCAGCATTTCAGAGTACTGGTTTCATGTCTGCTGATGGCAAAGAGAATGTGTGCCTGATTCTAACTTCTGATTGTTAGAGTAAAATAGTCAAACAGCATCTGTGCAATTTGCACATTTAGCAGATTCCAGTTATGGTGAAACCAGTGGATTTGGCTTTCCAAGCTGCTGAACTTGCAATGAATTTAAGTCCCCCACAGATATAGTGTGTTAGGTGTCTTACCCAAGATGGAAATCTGTGCAATGGAGGGGTGGGTGGTTTGCCTCCTGGGTCCATTACTCTGGTTTCAGAAGTTCCTGTCTGCTTCCTTGAACAAGAAGACTGATGAGCCACTTCCTCCATTCCTGCTTCTTCCACCAGGCAGGCTTCCACGTCCATTTTCTCTGCTACCTCTTCATCAATATCTGTTTCTTCCACCTGTCCCTGGCATTGAGCAAAAGCTCTTACAGGCTGAAATGTGCTGATTTCAATGTTCACCACATGATGGAGACAATCAGCTCTTGACTGTGGTTGGCTATAATGCCTCTTGGCTAGCAGAATGCTGTCCCTTGGATTGCTAGGGATCTGAACTTTGGGGAGAGTCATGCTGTTACCTAGTCCATCTTTCCTCCCTGCAAAATTGGAGGGCATTGAAATGATGGATTTTGGCAGCTTCAGGGCTGGAACTGCTGCTGAGATAGACTGATTAAGGGCAGTTTTGATTTCCTCAGAGGAAGATAAATTCCACCTATGAGTGCTGAGCTCACTATTCAGCTCATCTAAGGGCTTGTACAGGTCAGATACTGTCTTGTCTGAGGGACTGATGGAGCTCTGCAGTTCCTCCAGAGGAGAGTGAAAAGCTAAAGTGCCATGAAATTTCACAGTCTCTTGATGTTTTGATAAAGTTGGGCGAATTTGGGCATGTCCTGTGGAGACCAAGTCATTCACTGAAGAGTTATTGTAGTCTGAGGAGTCAGGAATGAGCCTCAGTGACCTCTGAGAAGGCACTGATTTGTCAGCCTCTCTTGCTATGCAGGAATCATCCATAAACACCACACTTGCTATATAAGGAACACCTTGCATGGACATGCCCTGGTAGGCCTGTTCAATGTCTACTGCAAGAAGCCTGGAATCCTGTCTTGAATTCTCAAGAAGGCATGACAAGGGGTCTCGAAGCAGCTGGACATTATGGCGGGAAACAGATTCTTCAGCAGGGACAGTCATCAAATCTAAAATTGGGAATAAAAAGTGGACAGAGCTTTTAGTTGGATGCCACTTATATGGCATACCTTACTTTTTAGTTTTGCAAATCTGTTTTTCAGTGAGGTTTTATCAAAAGGAAGTTTTACACTCCAAAAAGGACTTCTGCATGTGCAAGGCCAAGCATCTGAGTGTTGCCAATACAGATATTGCCATGGAGAGAGCCTCAATTCTAAAGAACAACTTCAGGGGGAGCTAAGGGGTGCAATGATGGAGGGGAATCTGCAAAATCTGGATATCCCACCTTGAGCAATCACTGGATGAAGTTTTATCTATCTATTTATTTACATATATTTATAGGCCGCCTGTAATTGCCGAGGCCTTCCTAGGTGGCTTGCAATATAAAACATACCAACAGTAAAAACACATTAAATACCAATTAAAACATAATAAATTAGAAAAAACAATACAAAAACAATTAAAAAGGGCCACGGCACTCAGGCTAAATGTTTAAAAATTTCCTACAAAGAAGTCCTTTGTCTTTACAACTAAAGACATTGTGAGGTCAGATGCCAGCCTGTGAAGACCTGCAAATTCAGGCTCTTTGATTTCAGGCATTCAGCCAGTAAGGATAAAATCTCAGAGTCTTAGCTCAAGGTCCCCAGACTTTTTGGATCAGTAGATGCATTTGGAATTTTGTGAGAGCACTGTAGCTACTTTCACAAAATGTCTGTCATGTGAGGGCTTGTTCATTTACAAAATAGTCACCATAATGAGCCAGGTTGGTCAAATAATAATCATTTCCCAAAGGCAAACTGGTGAGACTTAAAGAATAGTAGCTTACTCAAGAATCGAACTGCAAGACAGAGGTGCAGACTGAATTACAGGACAGAAAACTACTCCCCTGAACCCAATATGGGAAGAAGCACTTCATCTTGAGGTATGTCAACTTCCCAGTTAGGACTTAAAATTATATATATTTGTGCGTGTGTGCATTCTGAGGAATAAAATGAAAATCAGGAGATACAGGGGCCTGGGCGGGGGTGAGGGGGGCAGCAGAGAGGTGTCCACAGGCATTTTGGTACCAACCTCTTCCTTCAGAGACTTTTTAGCTTAGAGCCAAGCCATTGTATCATACAAGGGCTATACAAGTCCTCTGGGTCAACTTGGTCTGGGACATTCTGCCTCTGACCTTCTGTCCACAAGCACGGATTTCTTTAGAACTGCATGACCCTGCCTATGGTGGCTGTTCTTTTTGCTCCATACACTGATTCATGGTAAAAGAACGGTCTGTCATGGCTTCCTGACAACTATATTTACATCAAAATAAAAATGAACACTACTTATTTATTTATGTTTTAAACTGTAGCCAAGAAATTAGAAGACTGACATTTGGAAGGACAGCAATAAAGGAACTAGAAAAGATCCTCGTGTGTAAGGAAGTTTCACTGGAGACCAAGGCCAAATCATCCAGACTTTTATATTCCCAGTCACTCTGTGTGGGTGTGAATGCTGGACAGTGAAGGAAGTTGATAGGAAGAAAAGTGATGTTTTGCAAATTCCCTGGACTGAAAGGCTAATGAGTGGGTCCTAGATCAAATGAAGCCGGAGCTTTCTCTCTAGAGCAAATGTGACAAAACTGAAGGTGTCATACTGTGGGCACATCATGAGGACACAAATCACATTGATAGGTTTTCTTTGTTTTTTACTTCTGTTTTATACTGTAATTTAAACTTCCAAATGCCTATAGTGTATCTTATGTCATATTTTATAGTTTTAATTGTGGATAGCTTCAGCTATTAGGTAGTACAAAAGTGCAGTAATTCATTAATTTATTAAGATTAGTATATTAATATTTATCACACACTTTTCTCCTGTAAAGTGTTTGTGTATTTCATTTAAGTAGCACTTACTGTCCTTCATTATAGAACAATATTATTTCCTGACAGGGTCATATTATTATTGTTTCGATATTTTGAAAGTATGTCGAACAAGGCTGTCATGCATAGGACATTTTGGAGGCCTTTCATTCATAGGGTCACCCTAGCAACGTTAACAACATTTTGGAAACAATGGCTGGGAGAAACAATGGTCTTACACCATCTAATGAGTTCGTCATAGGGCTCAGATCAGAACTGGAGACTTCCTTGCTCCCAGTTCATACATAGTATGCACATAACCAAGCTTTTCCATGTATGCTAAAGGGAAAATATTCCTTCCTAATGATCAAAGTACAGCATAACTTCATTAACTGCACAAAATATGCAATGTACTAGTGTGATAGACAACGTTGCTTATTAGTAAAGATGTCTGAAAGAGATTTCTAAAAGACGAGAAAGGTGGGAGAAGAGAAGAACAAACAACTTTATCACATATTGCGTTTTGCCTTTCAATCCCAAACACATGTGCATCTGTGTAGGATAGAGATTGTGGCTAGTTAGATGTGAGGAAAATACATTCTACCTATATACAAAGACAATGTTTTCTTTATTTTTACTTGTCAAATTGCCATGCAGAATAATGGCACGGAAGATAAGGGATTAAGCCTGGTTCAAATTACCCCTTTTGCTGGAGCTTCCAAACGGAATCTGACACAATGAGACCATACAATTATGTGCAGGAGTCAATGTATCATTCAGAGTTGTTTCACTGGTAGCGATCTGGGAACACTTAATACCAGGTTATTATAGCAACCATCTCACTCGGTAAGCAATCAGAATGGATGTAGACAACCTGCTTACAAAGCTTTCAGCTGGAAATGCGCTTGCAGAGAAAGCTGAAGCCTCATGACTGAAAAGGCATAAACTCGTGCAGTTCAGGAGTATCTCCCCAGAATGGGCACCCCCATGTATTTGCATACTGCTATGCTCTGGGTTACTTGCCTATGTGTATGGCCATGCCTAATTTGTTGCTATAGAGAAAGCAATTCAGTAAAGATAAATCCCTTCCACTTGAAATGTTAATTATAGTTTAGTAGAAAATGCAGCTTTCAGGATCCAGTGGGAAAAAACACATACCTTTAACTAGGGATGAATGAGAATTGCATCTCTGTTCACAAAACATGAACACAATTCTTGTTCATCAACCTGAATGTGAATGCAAGCAGGAGATTTTTTTTTTTTGAAAAAATGTTAGTAAATTCCTGAATTTGCAAGCTCATTTGAAAAATTGGATTTTTAAAAAAATGTGCACATAGAAAGGATTATTTTAAAAAGCATTTTTGTCAATAGGGGAACATGCAGAATTGAGAAAAATATGCACAGAAATATGTTCTTCTCTCATTTAAAATTGGCACTTTCTCCATTCAAACGGGATGGGAAAAAGGTCAGCAATGAAAACAGCAGCAAGCCAAAACAAACTGCAAAATGAGTTTTGGAGAATTCAGGCAAGCTTGAAAATTCCTGGTTCTCTGGTCCCTACCCTTAAGAGCAGGCAAGGTGATAGAAAGCTATGGATGCAAAATAGGGTTTCTCCCAATGAACTTTCAGTACCTACATGCATTCCATAGGGAAGCAAGGCTTACCAGCATAAAAGATTATGCATGGAACCTATATTGTGCATGGAGAGACCCTGGGGAAAATGTCACACATGAGTGGCTGGCATCATTATATGTATTTAAACGACAGAAATGCATTGCACATACTTCATGCCAAGAGTGTGCAACAAGTGCTTGGAGGCCAGAGACCCTTCCCCCCATGGCTTTGAGTGCAGCCCTTGCCAGCCTTGCCACCGTACCTACACTGCTGGAATGTGGCGGCATAATGCCAAAAAAGGTGGTTTGCTGCCTATATTTGGCAGCAAATTGTGGTGATTCAGAAGTACCAAATTCAGCTTGTTTCAAAAGAAACACTGTTGAGCTTCTGTAACATTTTACCACCAAAGATCAGTGGCAAAACACTACCATTTTTGCTGCTATAGCAAAGCAGCCCCAGGGAGAGTCTGCAGGCTGGAAATTAGTCCCTGGACCACTCAGAGATGCTCACCCATGCTTTATGTGTTATCTGAAAGAAACACCAATGCACTAATATAGCCTCAGCAATCATGGCAGCCGTATAAAGTGTGGCACTGCCCCTACATCAGGGTGAACATGTTGTGGCCTCCAGATATTTTGGCCTACAACTCCCACCATGCTTCACCACCATACTGGTTGATGGGAGTTTTCGACCAAAACATCTAGAGGGCCACAAGCTGCCACCCCCACCCTAAATTCTTAAGAGCTGAGTGCTCAGCAAGAGTTTCTATTTCTTATATTTAGAGATGTTACATCTTGGTATCAAAGCAATGTCTACTGAAAATATTCAAACCACATTGGAGGAGACATGGATCTTGCTAGCGAGCATCACAACACCTCAGGAAGGGAGTCTGCATGGACACTGCACACATTCCAGATTCATGCTGCAGCACGCTAAACAACAGTTGTGTGGAAGTCCTTTAATTTCTTAATCTAATAGAATTACCCATTGTGCAGTCAGTAGTGCTGCATATGGTTTTTGGGATGCAGCCCCCCTAGGGGACAAGCAATATAATCCATTCAAAGTTTAGGATTACCCTAGTAAAGTTAATGGATTTCCTGCCAGGGTCATTAAGAATGGCCTTTACAGCCAAACTAAAGTATAAATGTTTTATATGGCTACAATAATAGAGATCTTATAAACAGCCTGTCTGAAAGTATGCTAAAAAGCCTCATACAAGAAGGAAATGGAAATGTCACATTTGTCTCCCTCTGCCTTGGTACACTAGAAAGAAAAAGGAATTGTCCTAAAGCATTGCAAAGAAGTATAATGAAACCACAGTCCATGTTCTTCTTCCCAGTTTCCCTGCCCAAAATAAACATGAATGTATGTGTACACATACTCTGCAGTGCTTCTTGTAGGGCTTTGATCTGGTCCATCAGCCTCTGGTTGCAACTCTTGAGGTAATGGTTTTCTAGCTCCAGCTGTGAAAAAAGGGAAAAATGCTGGAAAAAATGCATGCATCTTTCTTTATAAAAGCAGTCATCTCCAGGCCTCTGGCCTTAATAAAAACTTAAGAAAATTAAAAGAGGAATGTAATGCTAAATTCCTTTTCTTTGAAAGTTCTGCCTCCAGAAAGAGTCCTTTGACCTGTTTCCTCCACAGTGAAATTTGTGAAACTGCTTAAAAAGCAATAAAACTGGACCATTTAACTAAATCACAAAGCAAGTCCACAGAATGCACTGTAGACATCCTTGGCCAATTCCACGCCCATCAAAGTAATATATCACTCTAAGTGGTGCCTTCTTCAGCAGTGCAGCACAACACTAAACTTTTTGGATCTGAGAAATGGGAATTTGCTCTGGGTGCCAGAAAAATGGTTCTCATGAAAAATGTGTGGTTAGTCACATAATGGCTGATGTGAGGGTTTGGCTTAGTCAAAGGAGGTAAGGCGGGGAAAGAAATAGCAAGGCTAGAGTCTGGAAGAGAAGGGGGAATAGCAAGGCAAACAGTGAGAGGGAAGAAAAAGAACAAGATTAGAGGTTAAGATAGGGGGGCAAGATAAAGCAGTTCAGTGGAGAGAAACATGGGGCTGCAGTCGAAAGAGAAAGCAAAGGGGGAAAGGGCTGCATAGATGGAAGGAGAAGAGGTGAAGCAGTTCTTTCTCGCTCTGCTTGCCTGATGAACAGCTGATCAGTGGCAGGTATGAAAGAGACCCCAGTGCCCTAATGTTTTTCAACTTTTAACAGGTTGAAAGGCAGTTTTGAAGGGCAGGTATTGGAAAGCTTTGTGGGGATCCCTATCATATGTTCTTGCAGCAGTTGCAAATGTCTGCATTGTCACTGGAAGATCTCCTGGTGTCAGTTTCAGAGTAATTGTGGTCCCCAGATCATTTAGGTGGGATTCTAATAAATAGAGGGCAGGGAGCAGAAGCACGGAAAAAGGAAAAACAACAATAAGGTTTTATTCTGCCAGTGTGAGTCTCCTTGAGTGGAGTTCTGCTCAGAAAGCTCCCACTGGGGTTTGTGTACTTATATTTGTTGCCAATTCCAATCTTGCCCTCCAGGCCTGAGCACTGACTTCCCCACTGTTCCATAGGGTCCTCCAGTACAGATGCAGGAGATAGAGGAACTGTGGAATGGAAGGGGAAACTGTCTAGTCATATTCCTAACCCTAACGCAAAAGCCTCCCATGGATGGAAGGAACTCCTCTATCTGTGGAAGATATTCCCTGGATCCATCCCAGTTTGGGAATAGACTGAGTACAGGGCACTTTCACAGCATCCTGGAAGAGGCTTATCCCATCAAGGAAAGAGTAAACCAGTGCCAGCAGGAGCCCAAATAGAGAAATTTCAGAAGTCACTTTGGACAGCACTGGGCTATCTTTCAAGCATAGAATGCCCTGCAGAAGTGACAGAAAAAACACCTTTTGTTCCACTGTGGTTATGCAAATCTGTAGAAAGGGAAAATTGAGTAAAACTCAACCAGTACATGGCAAAATATGCCCTACAAACAATAATTTAAATCTGAAAAATTCACAATTAAAAAGTTCTCTTTGTTTGCATGAGTTACCTCCATCTCCATCAAATTACACACTAATCATATGCCTACTCATATCAGAAAAGAATAAACAAACTGCCTTTCACCTCTCTTAGTTTCTCAGTCACCCACTCTTTAATTTTGGCAGCTTTTTCTTGAACAATTCTAGCTTCATCTGCTCTCAGCTGCTTCTGTGAAAAAACATAATAATTAAAAAACAGATGACATGTCAGGCTTGCAGCTGAGCATATTTCATGTCAGTCCTGCATGCTGTTTGCCTTTGCTTACATTCAGATAACCCACACTTGAGGGGGTAACATGCTCACATTCAGCCCTTGAGTCGGGACTACCTGTTGCCTGAACTAAGCCAGTATCTTTTTTCAGCAATCTTTCCATAGCTATAAGGAATATTCTGGAGACTTGTGTGTGCTTCCAATTTAAACCAAAAGAAGACTATTGACCTTTGAAGCTTCGAGGCCTATCTAATCCTGATCAGAGAAAGCAAGAACAGGGAGAGATATTCTGAGGGAGAGCTGGAGACAGCCTTGAATCCATAGTATTGCAATCTGTCTTATTTCTCCAAAAGGCCCTGAAATTGGACCCAAAAACTGTGACAGCCAGATGCTCATTTAGTAATACCTGAAGGAATCCTCCTTCCCTATGAGTCTATCTGTACATGGAGGTAATCTTTAAAGCTTTTCAACCAGGTGCTTCCTCTGTCCAGAGCAAAGGAATTGCTACCTCATTTGTGTCCCCATCAATTTCACTGGGCATCAGGCAAAATCTTATTGATGATGCTAGCTATTTCTACAAATATGCCCTTATTACATTTTATTGAAGCATTTTATCTTGTTCTTGTAAACTGCCCTGGAAGCCCTGCTGAAGGATGGCAGAATCTTCTGCAGGTTTAGACAGGAAAAGGGGTCTACAATTCCCAGCATGCCCCAGCCAACCAGGATTGTGCCTTAAGTAAATATTGATCTGAGAAGGGAAACAAATATAAATGTATCTATACAATAAGTAGATATTCTGTGATCTCAGACAATAGCTTGCCTAGTGCTGGAGAAGCTACGTGCATTTCAATAAACAGTCATTTTACCTGGTTTTCCAGCTGTGTCTGCAATTTCTTTATCAGTTCATCCTTTTGTTGTATGCTGCTCACCAGCTTCTGATGTTTCTTGTGTTCACTGGACTCACTTGATTTCATGTTGGCAAGTTTCAACTTCTCTTCCATGATTTCAACCTGAAAGATCCCCTCACACTTTGATTGTAATGACAAGGAGTGGGGAAAGTGAAGGAAACACCCTGGATCTTGGTGGAATGAACCATTTCCCAATGGACCTTTTGTCCACAGACTGGTAGCAGGGGAATTCTTAAAGCATTTCTAGAATTTTTCATTTCTAGAGTTCCATGAACTATAGTTTTGAGTTACAGTTTGAAAATATAACATTACATGCTTCAAAGGGTCAAGGAGCAGATGTTTTTCAGGAAATACAAACAAGAAATCTAGCCTCTTCAGACATGGAGATCCCAAGCACATAAGACATGAGTGAAGGGACAAAACATGTCTTACAGGTGTAAATATAGGAAATTTCCCTCTGTCAGATCAAGACTTCCTATCCATCTAGCCCAGAAATGTCTACTTTGACTAGCAACTGTCCAGGGCTTCAGGCAGCAGGCTGAAGCCCTGGATAGCTCATTACCTGCTGCCTGGACCGTTTAGGTGTCAGGAACTGAACACAGGTCCTGATGCATGTTTCTTTCCTTTAAATGAAATTTGCAAAAGCAGAAGCAGAAATGTGTTTGATGCACAAGGGGAAAGTGGTCCAATCTGCACTGTGGTCCTGATTAAAATTCCTGTCCCCCACTGTTACTCTTTGCCCTGGAGGAAAACTGCCCTGCAAATAGCATCTTTGGAGGCAACTGGAGGGAACAGTTCCATCCCTTCCTGTGCACCATGGATCAAATTCTCATCTGTTCCCTACCCTGTTCCATGCCTGCTACTACTTTAGCAAAGAACAAACTCTACATGAAATGTGATCAGTCCTTTGTCTTCTCTTTCAATATGGTAGAAGGAGGATTTGCATTTGCAGTGTTGCCAGAAAGAACTTTTTAATGCAGCTTTTGCATAGTATCCATTGGCTGTAAAAGTTCTACAGAGAAATGTTACATTTAAGATTTTCCAGGTGCAATGTGGAGATCTTCCTTTTTAGGTTCACCATCATGGATCAAGGTTCACAGGTATCTGCAAAAACCCAAATGCTATCAGAGGACCTCCACATACTGTTCCCCCAGCACACACACACTTCTGCTGGATGCCAGTTGCAGCCTCCCCTTCACACAATTCCAGGTTCCCTGTCCTCTTCCTGCATGCTGAAGTCCACCTCCCCATCCCTGCTACTTCCTCTTTTAAAACTTGTAAGACACCTGAAATATGGTCATGCATTTCTCATATTGTTTAGTTTGGGTCTCACACACATGCACACATTTTGTTTCATTTCAAGCTTCCTGGAAGCTCGCAGGGGTAGCTAGCAGTAAGTTCAAAGCAGGAATGAAGATCAAGGCAGGAAGAAAGTAGGAGTCCCAGCTTGCTCTCAGGTTCAAGGACAATGGGGCAGTATTGTCTCAAGAGGGAGATAAAACCAACTGGAACTTTAGCATGAAAAGACTTGTAGGGTGGTCAATTTCATCCCACCTGGTTGTTAAAGCATCTTCACCTATTCTGCAGTGTGCAAGGTGAGGTAGGGGGAAGTTCTGCTGGTAACTCATCTTCTGCAAAGAAGATGATAGCAGAAGATGCATCTACCAGCTTGGGGAGGTAAGCTGAATAAGGAACTGGTTGTCACATTCCTTGGATATCTCATGTTTATCAAACTCCTCTGCTGTAAACTGGAAGACACAAGGGCTGAGGGGGCATCCCACACATAGTTTGTGGTGCTATCGAGTCACTGCAGATTAACTTCTTGCTGTGTAGAGACAGCTGCCCCAGTTATCAGTTTTAAGAACTCAAATAAACCTGGGAAACTGCTTACTGCTGGATCAGACCTTTGGGCCCTCAGTCTGCTTCAACTGGTCATGGCCCTCTGAAGTCTCAAGTAACAGTTTTGCTTAACCCTGCTGCCTAAATATTCATTTTTTACTCTAGCCCCTATACTTCCTTTCTCCTTCTCAACAGCTGGATTATCCTTCCACTGATTTGGACACCAGCTTTACAGGGATGCCTGTCACCAATCAGTAGCTCCTTCTTAACAAGGTCAATCATACCACTTTTCTCTTTAAAAGAATTTCTGGCTCAGAACCAATACCTGTTGGCTTCTTTCCAAAGCCTCCAGGTTGGCAATGCCATGCTGTAATATTTCCCAGTCTTCTTGCAAATGTCTGTATAAAAGTAATGCTGCAGTGAATATTCCTTACCCCAAGACTGCAGAAATCTCTGCTTCATCCTTCTGTCTGTTTGCATTAAAGGGGCGGGGGGCAAACAGTCTGTCCTCAGTACTAAAACTGAAAGGCAAGTGCCTGGAACTCGGGCCAAAAAGCTAAGCCTGCTGAGCGGGATATGTTTTTATTAGCATTCAGGATGATTACAGACTAAAGAAAGAGCTCCTCCCACCCATCTGAGGCTTGGGCAGTGACTCTATGCTGGAGGCTCCAAATGGGCAGGGAGGGACGATAACCATGTGGTCTCCTTATTTGAAGATAAAAGCTGTAGGGAGCACATTGAGCCAACCCTCCAACCCTCCGAACTCATGCAGCGAAATAAAACAGCAGCTCTAAAACTCAGCATGTCATCTTTTCATTTCCCATGCCGCAGGCTTACTGATAACATACCTGTTTGTGGAGTGGCAGCTCCATGTTATGAATGACAATCATTCCCTAAGCCTGTCAGATTTAATTAAAGCATTTCTTAAGACACATCCCTTTCTCCCTAGATACCAAGGCAGCTGGTGCCACTGGCAACAGGGCGGCAGCAACCGCTAAGCCTCTGCGCTGCGCTGGATTCTCTCCTCCGGGTTTGGCCAGTTCAAGCCAGTTCAGCCTTGCTGAAGTTCACTTGCTTTCCCCCTCCACCTTTAAAAGAGTGTTGGGGTCTCACAAGATGGCTCCTCAAAACAAGGTTCCTTCACTCCTGGACCTGATTCAAGTTTAGAACAGGATTAGAAGGACAGCAAAGGCGATTTACTGTAGCACACATGTGCCTCTGAGGCATGGGATTTACATGGCTTCATCCCGGTGTCTGGGCAGAGGAAAGTGGGGCAAAAATAACTCTGTGTGTCACCAGGCATGAGCAACACATAGTGCTTGAGCCAAACATGCCTGTCGGGAGATGGGTTACCTCCTTCTTCCTTTCAATCAACAGACAGTTCTTCGGCAAAAAGCACTTTATTTCCAGTGTACAGCCAGCAAAGTAAGAGCCAACAGAGGAAGAATCGTTGAGCATTCAACCCAAACTAGAAACTATTTTCAAAAATCTTCCTTTTCAGTAACCCTGGGCTCTTCCCACCTGGGTGTGCCTTGCTGGAGAAGGGCTTGCCTCCTAGAACTAGTCGGCCAGTGCTTCTCTCCTGACACTACATCATGGGGCCAGGGACCAGACCAGGCTCCTCTGGCTCCTCTCCCAAGTCCCCTTCCAAACCCTGTCAGTTCTCAAGGTCTGCCTGAATACCTGGAGCTGGCAGCCTTGAGATAAGCTCTCCCTCCTCTGCCATCTGTATGTCCGCAGAGCTCATTTTCCAGGCCTCACAGTCCCCATCCAAAGAGGCAGTGTCACCCTGGCCCTGGAAAGTACTCCAAGGATACCTACTTCTTTCATTCCCAACAGGCCCCCTCAAAGGCTGTCTGTGCAACTTGCTACAGGTGCCCTGCACCATAAGAAGCAATCCATCTCATCACTCTATTGTTTGTCTCTATCCCTGGAATGCCAGAGAATCAATCCTCCATAAAACCAATTGTCACATTATACATGCTATTATACCCCCAGAGATACCAGACTAGCTGGTATCAAATATTACAGAAGTGACAAAATCAGGGTAGTTCTTACCTGTTTTTCTGCACATTGGGCTCTCTGTTCTGCCTCAACCACTCTTTGTTCCAGTTCTTGCATCTTCAGAGCAAAATAAGAAAGGGAGGGGGGGAAATCAAGATTTAGGAGAAAAGTTATCATCTTTCAAGTCAAATCCAACTCTGATCATGACGATCTCTGGTATTGCTAGAGTAATGTCACCAAGCCAAATCAGGAAGAGCCTTTAAGAGCAAACTCACTGACCATTTTCTCATTATCGAACTTATTATTTGACTATATGGTTAAAAAGGATTCCAGTACTCCTGCCACTAAGATGATGCTCATCTCTACCACATTCAATCATTCTCTATATATACATATACAGATTAGCATTCAATCATATACATACATACATTCAAATATCTCATAGAATACTAGATTTCGAAGGGGCCAAGAAGGCCATCAGGCCCACCCTCTGCCCCATGCAGGACTCCAAGTTCAACATCCCAGACAGATGTCTGTCCAAGTGCCTTTTGAATGCCCCCAAGGTTGGAGAGCCCACGACCTCCCTAGGTAATTTGTTCCACTGTCATATTACTGTAACACTCAGGGCAGTCTTCCTCATGTCCAGCCAGAATATGGATTCCTGTAACCTGAGCCCATTATTCTATGCACATTATTCCTCTGAGATAATTGGGAAAAGATCCTGGTCTTCCTCTATATGACAACCCTTCAAGTACTTGAAGAGTGCTTTCATCTCTTTCCCTCAATATTCTCTTCTCCAGACTAAAATGTCCAACTCTCTCAATCTTTCCTCACAGATCTGGGTTTCCAGTCCCCAGATCAATCTTGTTGCCCTACTCTGAACCTTTTCCAGTTTGTCTCCATCTTTCTTAAACTGTTGTGCCCAGAACTGGATGTAGCACTCCAGGTGAGGCATAACCAAAGCTGAGTGGAACTAGTATTTCATGTGATTTGGACATGACATAAATGTGATGCATTTCCAATAGATTGTATAATAGATTATAATTATATTATAATGTGTGTTATAATAATAATAATAATTATTATTATAACATTTCTATGCCGCCCCTTGCCGAAACCTCGGGGCGGCTTACAACACGATAAAATACAATGAAATACAATAGCACATAATAAATTACCATTAAATACAAAGTACAAAAAATACATTGGTTTACAAATATAAGATTAAAATTATCAGTATAACTTAAGTAAATAAAAATATAGGAGGAGAAAGAGAAGGAAGAAGAAGTTGCCCTGGCCAGATCATATGTTTTAACAATTCAAATGATGTTTAAATAAAAAGGTCTTTACCTGGCGCCGAAAAATATAATATATAATATAATGTAATAGTAAGTATCATTAATTTCAATTGATTTTATTTACAGTATGTATATGCTGTCCAATAACACAGCATATGTTGGTGGCTCCCCCAAGAATTTAAAACAATTAAACAAGACCATAGAACCATAAGATGTCTGAAAACTGTTTCTAGGAGTGCTACATACACTTGACAACATTTTTGGAAAGTGTTAACAAGAACGCTTGTGCATTTCTATGCCACCTTTCCTAACAATCATACAATGTTAAATTCTATGGATTTTAGTGTCAGTGTTATAACCTCCCATGGAATAACTCAGGCTCCTCAGTGATTGCTCCCTTTCTCTTATAGTTCACATTCAGTTTTGGAAAGCATGCCCTTGAATTAAGCTTCAACAGTCTTGACAGGAATGTCCTTGTTTTTCAGACATCAGTTCTTAATTATAGTCTTCCAGGGTGGTGGAGATACTCAGCATCATCCTGAGCAAAACCATCTTGTCAAAATTAAGTCTGATATAAGAAATGAAAGAATTTTCTGAAAGTTGGCGTTTTCTTTCAGATTTGATATCCAAGCTTTACTTTGGTCCTCAATTTCCTGATCTTGACTGAACACACAATGATTATAATATATGGATACAAAATCAGCCAGTATTGTGTGAAAAAATCCTTGCAAGTAGCTTTACCACAGTTGCCCTGTGCTTTTTTCAAAAGTTGATCACCACACTCTGGGTTTCTGTTCTGAACAACCAAAAGCTGTCATCAACTCCTTCCTCTGTGCGGTCACTTGGCCTTGCTATCTCCCAATAAATGAACACTTCCTAACCACATACCTTGTCATACTATGTCCCAGAAGAGCTGCTGAAGTACCAGAGAAACCAGGCCACAGGGACAGGGAAGAAATAAGAGATCTCACTGAGATCACTTTCTGTGTATAACCTTCCTACAGAAATATCAATAGAATTGTGCCTTAAACCAGTTTTAGGAATGATGGAGTCCTCCATGGTACAAAACACGGCAGCAAAAACAGAACTCAGAATGAAGGCCAGTGAAACTGGCAATTCATAACAGTCTTTTTTTACATTTTTGCTTGTATTATGAATTATGGGCCTCCCTGCATCACAGAGAGACACAAAAATCCAATAGTCCCAATCTTGCAACTACACACATGAAACAGCAAGTTGCTCAGTTCCTAGGTGAGCATACAATGGAATTGATGGATTGGTAGGGGTCTCAAAAACAAAAGAGCACAAGGTGGTATGCTAAGGCCAATCTCAGCATAGGTCAACCTCCATGGGCCTGATCTACCTCATGGCATGACTGCAGAGGAACTAAAGCCTTGTCTGTACTGTGTTCTCTTCCCAATGGGACAAAATGTGGGGAAAACAAAACAGCTTTTCTGGCACATGTCTTCTCCAATTGGAAAAAAAAATTGCAGACAAGTCAGTTCTTGATGGATGTACCAAAAGGATTATCCCTCTGACACACCTTTTAGGGACCAACAATGGGTCAGTTATTGTGGCCATGCCCCAGCACATTATTTGACTTGCACAGAGTTAAGGGGTGCCTTCTGCTGGCTTTTCTAGAGGTGAGAATGTTGTATGAGTATGATTGAAGGATATTTTCCACTAGGTCTTTAGAATAGCCAATTCGTTAGCCTTCAGTTGATTTCACTGTATTGCTGACTTGGCAGTGAAGCAGGAAACTGCATATTTTTGGAATTACAATTCTTTCATACCAACAGAAGGGCAACTCCTTTTTAAGTCGATTAAAACAGAGGACCCATAGGTCATGAACTTTATGTCAGCAGCTAGTAGTCACACATTGCCATCAGAATTCTTCTGTTCTTGCCATGTAGAGCCTTCAGAAATTATACAGCGTTCTGGGAATAAGCCTATATACCTGTGTACAAGCCATCAGGACTGAGTTTCATTGTACTTACTATCTCTCAGATACTTCTCCAAATATTATTGGTATATTTCACTGTCTCTCATGAATAAGCAGGACCAGATACATAATTCAGAGGAAGGCATGTGTTCCTTTAGTACAGTGGAACATTCCTTACCTCCCGAGTAAGTCAATATTCACACCATTTATTAAATGTTTCATAGACTCTCCTGCTGATCTGCCAAACCTTCAGGTAGTTGAATAAAAGTCCACCTAGCCTGATTCAGCCTAAAAATAACTAGTATTCTCCTTCCTTTTTCCACTTCATTGTTTTGCTGCTAATGTTAAAACAGCTGCTCTGTTGTTTTACATCAGACCAGAATGTAATTTCTTGTTTTGCTTTTTCAGTGTCAAGAATACTTCTAGGCTCTCTAGGGATGAACAAATAATATGCAGAGCATTCAAATGGCTCTTTCCATGTATTATGTTTTACTGATGAGAAAAGTGAACCACACAGCTAACTAGCTACAAACAAACACTAAAAGGCAGTTTTCAAAATACTGTTCCTCTGTTTCTCATCGTTAGCCCACCACACTGTCCCCCTCCAAAATAAAGACCTATTATCCACCCGACAAATGTCTCAAAGGTAAAGAGGTTGGTCAAAGATTCATGCCCCACTGCTCATTTGTTAACAAGGTCATCATGCTGCCATGGAAACTGTTTGCTGTATCACTCATCAGCAGAATATTACCGCTTTTTCCCCTTGTGTGCACCAGTGTGTAAGTAAATGCCAGCTACTAAAGACACAAGATTCTTGAATACATTTCCAGATTTATTGTGTGAAGATGTGTTAACAGTCAGTATGAATACCCATTCCCTAGGAATCCTGGAAAAGGTGCAGAGGGAAACCTGTTTACACACACATCCACTTCTATGCACAGTCAGACATTCACATTAAAATAAAAACATTCCTTTCTTTTCCCTTTCTCTTTTAAATTAATTAGTGTTAGCCCCATCTCTCTCCCCTCAGTTCTTTTTTCCCCGAGAGGCAGCTTATTTGTAACAGGATGATCATGCTGCCATGGCAACAGACTGCCATGTCGCTCATCAACAAATATTACTCCTCTTTTCCTTGGTGTATGCAATGCGATTAAAAAAAAACAAACCTGAATGCAGAACACAGAGTTTTTATTAAGAGGGCATACTAGCACTTGCTGTACATTTGTTAAGCACTTGGGGATAGTTTCTACCTGCTTTCTAGTCAGCTGATTTTTCATCCCTTCATAACTGAAAATACGACAATATGAACTGGATCCTGAGAAAACCAGAACATTTGAAGTGATATGAAATCATATGTACATTCATCAAATGATCCACTGAAGCTGCCACAAAACGGGTAGAGACATAAACGTCCAAACTAAACCAACAGATATTTTCATGTATGAACCAGGCTTTAGCCCTGTAGTTCTGGAACCTCATATGTTTAAGAACTGAAGCCCATTTGTCTCAGTTGTTATTAACTGAACGACTGGATCAATCATGAAGGAATAAATTAACACGCTCAGTGTTAAGGCAAAAGTTTCAATTAGTTTGAAACGGCTTCCTTTCCACACACACTTTTGACAAGCTTTTGTTTCAATACAGCCTGCCTGGTCTTTGGCCTCTGAGGAAAAAACACAGACCACTAACTTGCACAGCCAGTTACACAGTAACCTGACCACTGAACCAGGCTGCTCCCAAATCTCAACAAAGGAGCCAGTGGTGACGCTCACCCCAGAACTGGACTCATTCCACAGTCTTTATGTCCCTTCCCTTTCCCTTCCCAGTCAGGTGCTCCACAGACTGAGGAGCGATCAGACAGATTTATAATTTAGTCACCGTTTAATTGAATTCTTTTCAGAAGTACTGGGTTTCCAAGGGAAAAAGATAAGGGTCTGAAGATTATATAAACAGGCACACAACAAGGGCGAGAAATTAGGCATTGGATTTCTAGGATCATGGCATCATGATTTCAAAATCAACCAAATTCCCTTCACAATTTTTAATATATGGCTTGAGATGACACCAAAGTTTGTTTAGCTCAGCAATGCATCTCATGTGACTACAATTAATCATACTTATCAATACCAGAGATTATTCTGTAGTATTTACTGAACCTTCCTCTATCATTATCATGCCAGGTATATAGCACCACTGATTTTAAAGGTACTCCAAATCATGGGATGAAGAAGGAAAGTTTTTTGTATCCTACAACTTATTTGGGCAGAATATGAATTTGGCAGAGTATTCAGAATTTAAGCTAAGACTTTTGCATCTACTATATCAAATGTTGTTATATCTAGTCATGAAATGCACCTACTGATTACATGTATTTACATGCCACTTTTCAAGAAGCAAATCTTACCAAGGTGGCTTACAAGTAACATAACCATTATGGAATGATCTCCCTTGCTGAGGTTCATCTGTCATCCTTTTGGCACCATGTTAAGACTGCATTTAAGGATATTTAATGTCATGATGCAGCATTTAGGCCAGTTGTTTTTAATAGATCTACTTTGAGCAAAATGGTTTACATTTGCTACATTGTTTTGAAAGTTTTACATTGGAACAATATGCTATTTTGATGTATTTGTGGGCTGTATTTTTATGAATTGTTGTGAACTGCCTAGAGAGCTTTGACTTTTGGATGGTTTGGAAATGAAATCTCATCATCATCTTCTTTCCTGTTGCTTGACAAATAACAAACATCACAATAAGTAGATTTTGCCTCACCTTCTCAGCTAGCAACTCCCGGATCTTACTAGCTTGCAGACGGAATTTGAAGAGCTGTGTCTCTAATGCAAGACATCGTTTCTGCCAGTCAATGCTGCTACCATTCTCAGCTGTGAGTTCTGCCATTCTGAAACCTTTCTTCACCCCAGGCTGATCTCCTCAAGGTGACCTACATGAGTTAGACAATGCTTTTAAAATATTATTTGTCATCTTATCATTTCCTCTCCACATAGACCAAACATGCTCAGCATCAAAGATTTTTGCCAGTAGTTCTTTATTTCAGAGTAAAGTAGTAGGAGGAAATTCTCACATGGTATTGTGTGACAGGAATCAAGGATATAGTTTACCAAAAGCTGGTTAAAACATGCATAGGCATTATTGGATGATTGCAACCTCCCACCAGCAATACATTTCCAGTGGAACCAGTCCACTGATACATTGACCAATCATCAACTGTACATTAAATAAATTTAGGACAACCAAGTGATGTACTTGCATGTGTGAACTGACCCATACAGCACAAGAGCTGAGAAGTATGGTACAAAACAGTAGCAGCTGCCATATGGAAGAGACAAATATAGTAAAAGAAGAAGAGAGCAATGGTGAAATAGTACTATGGGTCCCACTGAATCACATGGTTTGAAGCCCTATAAATAATATGTCTGAAAGAAAACTGGCAATTTGATTCTTTATAGCAGCTTTAATTACCGCAGTGCCAGTAATGGTTGTCATTCAGGCTCTGTCTACCTTCTTGTCAAAATAACAACATACAATTCAAAAGCACAGATAGACACCCTCCAACCCTGTTGTAAGGATCAAATGGAGAGGGGAAGGGCTATAAGAAGAAGGGGACGGCAGAGAATGAGGTGGCTCGATAGAGTCACTGATGCAGTTGGTGTGAGCTTAAGTGGACTCCAGGGGGTGATGGAAGACAGGAAGGCCTGGAGGAATGTTGTCCATGGGGTCACGATGGGTTGGACACGACTTCACAACTAACAGCAACAAGCTGCCTCGGGTCCCTCGAAAGAGGAAAAGGACAGGATAATATAATGTACTACCAGTAAAATAATAACAGCATGCTTTCAAAATAGGACAGTCTTCCCCATCTTGATGCCCTCCAGATGGACTGGGCTAGACTGCCATAATTCCCAGCCAGCATGGGGAGTTGGTAGTTGGGAATTACAGTTCAACACATCTGGAGGGCAGTGGCTTAGGGAAAGTTGAACTAAGCTATTCTGCTGACTCAAAGCTATCTGGAATGCATGCTTGTTTATTTTATATACAGAGCAGTCTCCTCTACACTGGTGCTCTCCAGAAGTGTTAAGTAGGCTATGACTCCCAGAATACCCCATAATGGCTGAGGAATTCTGGGAGTTGTAGCCGAGTATATTTAGCGACAATCCATTTAGGAAAGGCTGATGTACAGGATCTGGCTGAAATTAGCACACAGGAAAGAAAATACAGTGGACACATCATGCTACAGTATTTGCATGTACCAGGAGTGCAATGCAATATGGCAGTTACCAGATTCTGCTACAGATAATAGTGTCTGGGGCTGAGCCTTGACATTGCCAGGGTCATCTGTTTGCTGAGAAGCAATTATCTAGCTGCACAACGTCTTTTCCTCAACTGTCTGTACTTTGTGTTTTTATGCATGGTTGGGTGAGGCAACAGCAGCTTGGGACAGGTTCTGAAGGGGAAAGATGAGAGAGACTTTTCTCTTTTCATGAGACCTGCAAACTTTACTTAGTGGGAAAAGTTTAATTGGTGGAGGTGGACATTAAGGGTTAATTCTGACTTTGTAAAGGGGAAAGAAAAAGAAAAGGTGGTCTTTTATCAGGATCTTTAAAAGCTTAAATAACTGTTGCATTTCTTTAGTCTAAAACTTAGATACTGCTCATTTTATTTAAATTTTAAAAGATGTTCATTTAACTATTGTATAATTGATCAACAATCCCAATTTTCACATATCCTCATACAGTTTTTCTCTATCAGTACTAATGTTGCACCTGGACCCTCTTCCTGTTGTCTGTTGACATTCCATTTTTGCATTGCTTATTCTTCTCTAACACTATAACAGTCTTTGAGGATTGATTAAAGACACATCTTACATGAACATTTTCCCCTCTGTGTGAATTTTTACAACATGGCTTTCTTGGCTCTAGTCTGTATGCTATCCCACCACAAAATAATAATCTCTATGTAAAGGGAAATAATGCCTCCTACAATCTAGCAATGAAATATACTTGAATAATATAAAATATTATTAAAACCATAAAATGCATAAAAACATAAAAAGAAAGTTCCAAACAGTGTGCAATGAAGAATCCGATGCTGTCCCAATGATAAATTTTAACAAGTACAGGAGTTCCAATCAAACCTCCATAGAGGATTAGTTAAAAACAAACAGTCTAAGCCCTAGATGTTATAAACTTACAGCTGTTCCAGGCTGAGCAGTGACAGAACCATCCAACTCTTCTTATCACAAAGATCATCAAAGCTTCTCTGGTTTCCATTTGGACTCTTTCTCCCCAGCATAGCTATCTAGACCACCAAGATACAATGACTCTAATATTTCCCAGCAGGGTTGTTCAAGCAGCTCCTCAGTGTGTATTTAATCTTCTGGTATGTGGATTCTGCTAAGAAAGCAGGAATGACAGGCCTGTTGCTTGGCCTACACTTAAAATTCACATGGGCAATGTGCCCCCTCATTAGAAGGCCATAAGATAATTAGATTGGGCTGTGGAAAACAATGCACCGAGTGTCCTCACGGATGACAGAAGCCCTTCAATGGCAAAACTTTGGTTATGAAGTATCCAAGCAAGGGAGATAATGAGAGGCCAAAGATTCATCAGGCTAGATCTGAATTCATTACTTCAGTCTGAAATATATTTAGCTAAGACCCTTTAATCATCTTTGGAAGCCTTTTTTGCTTGTCCCCAAATTGACTGAATGGATGTATAGAGAGATGCTGAAAACTAAGGGGTGAAACACTTCATTAATGGGCTTGCAGAAATGGTTGCAAGTACAGTGGGAATGAGGCAAACATTTGAACTTAAAAATTTAATTGGAAATCTACCTTTCAAGACTGCTCTGTGAAACACTGAAAACTGCCTAAAACATGGACTGAGGAAATGGAGACTACATTTGAGTGCAAAAATGCTTTGTTGGAAATCTAAGCTCACACATGAAAACCATTGAAATGTTTAGGCAAACTGCCATATTTTTCCACTGTTCATGGTTGATCCATTCCTGGTCACTTTTACCATTACGTATAGCTATTTTATACTGCTTATGTACTAAGCAAGCATTTGTTCGGGATTTCTGCAGAGCACTGAAATACTGTGGGGAATACCTCATCAATTCATCCACACCAAAGGTGTTTTTGAACAGAGGAAATTCTTCACTAGGCAGAAATCCCTGGATCACCCTATAGAAACCCTATAGGTCACCAGTGCTGCAATTCTAAGAATATACTTTCCAGAAAATCTTGCTGATGAACTCAGTGGGACATACTTCTAAATGAACATACTTAGGACTGAACTGCAGGCTTTTTATACAGAATCTGATGGGCAACTTGGCTCTTAGCATAAGGTTACCTATTTTGTGGTTTAGCTAGAAGATGCATTTCTGGAATGTTTCTCAATGCTAATGAATTGTCCAAACTTGCATGCAAAAGCAAGTAGATTGCAACAAAGAAACTTTCTGGTCCAGTATGTATCCTAAACATTGATAACAATAATACATAGTTAACTGCCCTCACATTTAGAATTGTTTCACAAATGTCTAGGCTGAGAAGTAGAGGACAATGCTGAGGAAACTCATGTAGCATCAAGCCTCTGGGGACTACATAATCTCTGTTTCTCCTCCCTACTAGAAAAGCTTGAGCTAAAACATCTCCGCAACATTTTTGTGGGGGTTTTTTTGGGGGGGGGGAGTTGGTAGACTATATTTAAATAAACAGTGCTAAAATTGAATTTATATTTAGTTAGTATAAGATCTCACAGTTGTGGTAGCATCCTGGTTGTGATTCTTTTATACTTTTTGCCCAATTTGGGATCCAAAGCGTTCAAGATGATAGGAATAGATGAGCAAAATACTTAAACAATTTGTAGGAACATCAAATAAACATTAGAGAATAGATTGTGCAAAATGTGCATAACATATTTGAAGAGCCAGTGTGGTGTAAGAACTGGAGTGCTGCATGAGGACTTGGTTCTAGTCACTACTGAGCCATGAAGCTCACTGGGAACTGGCTCACTGGGCCAGGGGAGAGATTCTCAGCCTAACCTACTTCACAGGGTTGTTGTGAGGATAAAAATAAAGGAGAAGAGAACCTTGTAAGCCACCTTGGGTTCCTTGCAAGAGGAAAAAAAGCAGTGTATAAATGTATTGTAACAATAAATCTTACATGTTTGCTTTTGCTTAAGAGAAAAATAACTTGAGACCTAGTTTGGTATAGACAGGGTATACATGTTTTAATTGAATAAAACTTCTAGAGTCTGAAGCCTAATTTTCAACTGATTATTATATACAACATTGTTTGTCTTTAGCTTAATATCAGAAACTATGCAGCAATTAGACAATAGATAGTGGGATAAAATCTATAAGGCAAAACGTCATCCACTGTGCATGTACCCTATATTCTACCAGCAGCAGTATTCACAGAACCATATTGCTACATGGGCACTCCAAAATCACAAAGTCCTCTTCAAAGTCACTTTCATTACATACATTTTAATCTCAGTTACAGAATTAGAAAACTGTTTTCTTTTGCATATGTGTCAGAATTGTGAGACCAACCCTTGTGGGGTAGCCCTCAGCCATGGTGGGAACACTTCCACCTAAGATTTCACATACCTGGAATTCTACCTGCTAGGTTTGTGCAAACATCATCATAAGCCTCATCTCACAACCTAGACTATTACTGCAATAACAAAATAATAATTATTCTGATCCTGTTGCTGCAATATTGCAAGATTCTGCTATAAACATGAATAAGGGAAAGCCTGACTTGTCTGTCACAGTTCCATTCCAGCCTGAGGTCAAGAAGTGAAAGATCTGCTCCCAGCTCCTACCAGGTGTGAACTTCCAACCCACTGTTGACAAGGAAAAGCTGGTGCTTTATTATAGGAGAACAACCAGACCTGTCATTTATAATGGACAGTGCCTTCTTCTTTCATGGGACAACAGGCAAGATGTGAAAGACACAGAATCAAGCCACCTCAGTTCTCGCCTGCTTCAAGAGATAAAATTATACAAGAATTGCTTTAAAAAGTAGAAAAAATAGATTTGTCCAATTTCTCCATGCTGTTCATTTGGAAAAGCTTTAAGAATTCAGAATGAATTGTAT